TGATTATGCACTTTGCAGAATAAAGTTATTAGAAACATGCAGGATCATTAATGATCTTTCAGTCTTGCTAATGCTACAAGACTCCTCATGCGATGCATTAAAATGATTAAAAAAAATAATGTGTTAAAATGTTGATAATTCTGTAACAGGATTCATCAGATGTATCTGTTGAATTATGCACAGCAGCAGATATTCATGTCCATGATCTGCTGAATTCCTTCAGCAGCTGTAATGGCTTCCCCTTTCTGTATCAAGACTTCCCCCGCCCACAAGATTTCCTCTTCCAGCACCTGAACATGATGTGAATCTTGATCACAGGAAATGAATATGACACAAAAACCCACCCAAGGCTATAGAAAAGCACACACACACACACACTCCTCAGTCAGGTGGTTTCTAAAGGGGGAACTGAGGGAGAAAGCCCAGATTCTCCCTCTGCTTTTTAAAATGTATATGTTGAGTTGAACAACAGTTACACTTGTCTATAGGGTTTGAGATAGTGGTACACATCACCACATATATCACTTGCCACTTAAACAACAACTACATAAAAATTCCTTTCCATTCGCTTATATGTTCCTCTGCTGGGATAGATGAGATTTTAATGACTGTGGAATAATTGATGAGGATACTGAGAGCTGGGCCAGTGGGGGAAGGGACTTATTCGGTTTTAATATGAGAGCTCATTCATTCGCTGTTTTTCCCCTTCACACATGAGATGGATTACATAGACATCTACCCTCACCTCTCCCTCCTTCTCCCAGTGGAGAACGAAACACTGTATGCGCCAACCAGTCGCCTGCCCCATGTCCATGAGGGGATCAGGGGATATTTGAGGCGAGTCTTCAGGGTCCTCATACAGGCCCCTGTCATCAAAGAGTGATTCCAGTCTCACTACACCACCCCTCCACGTCCCAAGAGACCACTGTAACACCTGCCCCCCAATTGTGGATGCACGCCCACCCCCACCCACCAACAAAAACACACACACAAGCAAAAACACACATTGGCTTCATGTTGACTTCTAAATAAGTATTTACACATGCTAATATTAAGTTATTATGCCAGTATAGTCTGTGCGCGTTCTTGTATTTATTCTCAGTGGGACATTAGAACAGAGAAGCTTGAATGAACACTAAGTGAGGAGGGCGTGGACTGCGATCTGTGCTGGACATCCATGACGGTTACGGCTGAGAGAACCAGAGTAAACACATGTAATAGGGTCACAAGTGATGTCTCATTGTGGTTGTCTAATTAGCAAAAGCAATAGCTCGACATGAAACCTGCTTACAAATGAGTTGTCAAAAGTAAGACTAGTTACTTTATTCTTGGGTATGGTTTTTCATTCATATTTTAAAAACGTATTATTATTCATTAAACCATTATAAAGTATTATTATAGAAGTAATTCAAATAAATGAACACAGTATATTATTGTAAAAGTTACTAATTATTGCTATTGTGCTATTATTAAAGTCTTCACCTTTGCGTGCTTTAAATCAATATTTCAGTGAAAATAGTAATCTGTGCATCTTTGTTAGTGGCATTTGAACAAAAACTCACTCTGAGCAATTACACATCCACACTCAATTGACAAGCTTTCAATTACGTTCACCAGAGTGTGAATGTGTTTCTTCAGTCAATCTGATATTGTAAATCAGCTGCTAAAAGAAAGGTTATCCAATTAGTAACTGATTTACACAATGTACGAGAAAGGGCAAAGCTGGACAGACTGTGAGGGTTTCCTCCAGCGGGACTGAAGCTTGCCTTTGACTGCTGTAGTGAATGCACAGGGCCACTCGGCTGTGTTCCAGGTTGTGGAGAATATCTGAGCATATGAACCTCGTAAGTCTACAAATATCCTTTTTCCTTTGCTGCATACTTCAATATAATAGCTAAATAATTATCTCCCCATTACAAACCATTGACAAGATAGATAGGTAGATAGAATGAATATCCTACACCAAGACAAAAATACTGCTAAGGTCACAACCTCTAAAGCTAGTGTGAAGGACATTGTCTGCGCGTGTCTGGCAGACGAGTGTCTCATTTGCACCTCTCTTACTGTGTGGTGTCCTGCTGGGATGCGGATGTGTCTGAATCAGAGGACTGAGGCTGAAAGTACTGGCATAGGCTCAAACAGACTTAAACTGACCACATCTATGCTCTGCAGCCTAATTTTAGACCATACTTTTGTTAAAGTTCAAATATTTGGCACCGGATACTCCAAATTATGTAATAGACTTAATGAATTAATACTATTACAAATATTCATTAAAAAAATGAATGCATTTTTTATCTGTTTGCTAATGATGCACAACATTGTATTTCGGAGGGCAGTAGGTTTTCTGAACACATCCTCTGAACAGCTTCTAAGTGCAGCCCCTCCTTCCAGCCTCCATTAGGAGGTTTGTGTGCTCAATAGGTTTTGCTGATCTCGAGGGGCCCTTACATTGATTTTTACTAGAGCAGGGAAAGGACAAAGATGCTATATGGGTGACAGATAACCAATGTTGGGGCTAAAAACTTAGATATGATTTACCAACTTGCAGACACACAACAGGTGGACAAAAGTACATTGTGCTTGACGACTGTAATCAGACACCAACATATAGGCAGTACATTTTCCACAATTTTGAGCAAGGAGTCTTTGGCCTCCAAAGCTTATTGGAATGTAAAACAACACAGGCGAGTACAATTTTGTTATAATTTTATATAAAAAAGGCTATATAGAGCATTTCAATTTCACATCAACAAACCTCTCCATTTACAGTAACACAGCAAAAGGAAGCCATATATCCACACTTTACTCATAGGCAGGAAACAAGAATAAGGTACCTCAAAATCATCAGGCAAATTACTGTCATTTTTGAAGATATTTGAATACCTTTACACACAATCCTTGTGTCACCGAATATTGCAACAGTAGTGGGAAAATGCAAGGAGGAAGAGGAAAGAGGGGAGCGAGGGAGCGCTTCTCTAGCCACAGACAAAACACAGACCAGAAACAATGGGGAAGGACAAAAAGAGAGGATTAACGTAAAAGATACCCGACAACAACATACTCTCAAAAAGCAACCACTGGCAACCATACAGGACGACTACAGAGGTGCGGCCACCTGCGGAGCTGAGGACCCCGGTACGACTTTCGCCCGGCCGGGAAGCAGCTGCAGGTGACACTTAAGAATCATTCTCTTCTGGTGAGTGGGTCCAGCACACAAACTCTCAAGGAGAGTTGCACTGGACTCTTACTAAATCTAAATATATTTTCATATATATATATTTATATACTTTAACAGTAAGTAATTGTTTAATCTTTTCTTTTTTTTAAATTGTCATCACAAAACATTTAAACCAAAATGATTACAGTTAAATGTGCTAACTTGTTACATATTTTTGGGTGAAGTGACTGCTAAGTAACTGTTACCATGGCTTTATTGCTTTGCTCATCCCTAGGCTCATCATGAAACTGACGCCTTGGGAATTATTTTGACCATGCTTCAATATTCGACGCTTTAGGCACCCTTTAGCGTCAGTTACATGACGCGATCCTAGGGCGTCATCTTACTGACGCTTTACCTTTAGCGTCATGTAACTGACGCTTCCTACCCCAGACCTAAACCTACCCGCGTCATCTAACTGACGCTTAGGTAAAGCGTCAGTAAGATGACGCCCTAGGATCGCGTCATGTAACTGACGCTAAAGGGTGCCTAAAGCGTCGAATATTGAAGCATGGTCAAAATTGTCATTTTAGTGACGCCTTGGGGTGAGAATGCGTTGTGAATATGGTCATTACCTGCTGCTAGGACTGTGTCAGCCCTTAGACAGGTTCTCCCTTGTTTTCCCAATGGACACTTTTTCCCCATCCCAGCTAAAATCCCACACTACAGGTTACCTTTGGTTAATTGTGCAAAGAAATTGACACGTCAGTAACAGTTTTGTAAAGTAAAAGAACATAGTTATAGTAAAATAAAAAACAACATTTACAAAAACTATTTTAACCCATGCATAACTAACATTCACAGATGTCAAAATGGCATGGAGTTAAAAGAATGGAATGGAATTTAAAGAGTCTTGGAGTTTTGACACCCTGTGCTTTCGCTTTTTGTAGCTTTTGCGATAATGTTCCCAGGCATTTCCAATGATTTAAAATCGAACCCCTTCCCAAGTTTCATCTATTACACCAGACACCAAATAGAACAGCACCATCCAATTGAAACAACCTGCTGAGCTTGAGAAACATTTTTTGTTGCTTTTATGTCATCTAAACAACTGTGCTTTTTTTCTCTGCAGTGTCAAAGACCAAAGTCCTCTTTAATCTCTCAGAAATATGAATTATACGATGGACAAGTAACACATAATGAGATATAAACACTCACTTTGTGTGCTGTTAAATGACATTGTCCAGCTCCCTTAGTGCAATCAGAAAAAAGACAGTGTAAACCTGTTGCTTGGTTGGAATTCTCTATAGCAGTTTTTCTCCATGGATGAGATTCATTATCTGAGCCTTAGTTCTGGAAGCCAGTTGCCCGACTAACTCTAAAGGCTTCTTTATGTTGCAAAGGCTCAGAATAATGGGGTGAAAAACTTGTGATGCACGATTGCACTTGAAATGAAGTTACTCTACTTTTTAATACATAGAACATTTACAGTCAGCCAATTTTGATATGGAATTCCCCCTTTGTATAATTGACACATTTAAATCCATATTTAAATGTAGGATTTGATCATTTCAATTTGTGCAAACATAACAATTATTAGGGTTTTGTACATCTTTTTTTCAGGGCTCACAGACCCTACAAAATCTATCATATATTTTTATACTGTGCTGTATGTAGAGTGGCTCAAAAAGTATCTGGATGTTTAAGTCATAGTTAAAATGTATAAATGTCATAACATTAGCTCTTTTTTTTTTTAAAGCTAAACATCTTACAAAAACAAGTTTGTTAGGTTTGATGATATAACGATATATCATATACATTATTTATATATAACTACATATTTATGAAAAGACTTCAAATGGACACTTCATACATCCACTAAAGAAAAGCTGATTTGTTGCAGATTGCACTTGGTTTGATATCTTGTTATTTAATGCAATGGAATTTACACGTTTTCAACTGTGACTTGTGATGTTTTTTTTAATACTTTTTTGCGCCACTGTATGTTTATGTTTGTGTATGTCTGTGTCTGTGTGTGTGTGTGTGTCATATTTGCAAGGTCTAGGAGTAATCCCCACCCTGCCTGTATCCGTAACCCTCTTCTTCCACACCATCCTGTACAAACACCTCTCGTTTATCCCATCCTTCTGCCCATCCTCCGTTCAACTGCGTGGTGGCCCCGTAGGTCTTGGCTGGACCTCCCAGGGCACTGTAGCTCTGGGTGATGTCCCCTGTTTCCTCAGCCAGCTCATCTTCATCAATGAAACCACACTTCTCTTCACTGGTCTGCTCCGGATCTGCCCACGGCTGCTTCTCCCCCGAGGCGAAGATGCCATAGAAGATTACACCGCCATAATGCACCATGGAAGCGATAAGGAACACATACTGCCACTCTTCTCGGGTCTGAAAGGATAAAAGAGTTGTCAAGTATTCATTGACATAAAGAAACCCATCCTGGGAGCTGCAAGAATAACACATGAAATAAACATGCAGTTAAATCTGAGCACTTTTGACAATGAATATGGAGAAAGGTATAACAAAATATGAAAGAATCAAGATGACAAAAACTCAACCTTCTATACCAACATCAGCTTTCAAGGCATCCAGTCCAAACACATAGTACTAAACACCTAGAATTCAAAGGAAAGTCCTGACAATTCAAAGTGGTCTTACCTTGTGTTTGGTCATGGCACCCACTATAAGAGGACACACCATTCCTGACAGAGTTCCCACACCATTAGAGATTCCCATGAGGATACTGGCATAGCGAGGAGCGATGTCTAAATGATTGACATTGAAACCTGATGGACAATAGAGGTTTAAATTGTATTAACATCTTACGAAAAGTGAAATAACTGTAAATAATTATATTTTTTTCTATATTTGGCACTGCGTTAATAACAACAAACCACGGATATTATCATTAAAACCAAAACCATTAAAAAATATTTTCATAACATTAAATAATAAACATTAACTGAAATCAAATTAAATAAATAAAAACATTAACTTTATTTCAGCTAGTTTCCAATATTTCTAATTTTGTGAAGTACAGCTACAGTATATAGACATTGAAAAAAAAATCTACTTTAAAATATGAACAAAAACTATAATAGGTTAGTATAGTGAGTGATACTAAAATAACACTGCAACAAACAATATTACAGAAAGATATTTTCAAACACTCCGTTTCAGTTCTATACTGTTCTGTATCAAGAGTGCACATTTTTTTCAGTATCACTAACATGATGTTGGAGATACAGACTAAAAATAGAAAGATACGCCATCTTGTAGAGCGGAGGCCCTCCCTCATTGAGTGCTCTGTCTGGATGTGCTGCCTGTGAGGCTGCTCTCAGGGGACAGTGTGTATGAATTATTTAAAAAGTCCAGCAAAACCACTTATTCCTTCCAAGCTGCAGTGGACGAAGAGTGTGTTTGAGTGAAAAAAGGAGAACAATGGTATTTTGTTACAAATAAGGCATTATTTGCAGTCTTCCCTGGCTGCATATGGTTGCTTTTTATTGCTGCTTTTTCTTGTCATTGTTGTGTGTAAACGGCAGGTTTGCATGGGAAATTATTAAATCAGACATATTGTTTCCCCAAGGACTTGCCTGATATTGCAAATCCACTGAAGCCGACAGCCAACACAAGGAATGAAATGGCCACCCCTTTACTGTGCGAGTAACCAACAACCAATAATAGAGTGGCCTCCATCCCAAAGCCTGTGAAAGATAAAGACATGTGGATAAACAATTCACTAAGCTAAAATAGACAAATAAAATGACAATAAAAATATATTTAGAGGAAATGCCGAAAGGGAAAAAGTGTGAAATATTTAGGTTGATGAAAAATTCTCATTTAACATTCCTAGTTCACATGGATTTAACCAAAATTCAGCCATGTAGGAGCTATATGGCTCTGTGTGTGTACCTGCAATAGGCTCCACTCACCTCCGCAGTTCATGATCTTCCGAACTGTTGTAGTTGACAGGATGTTTTTGGCGCGAAGGTAATCAGCTAACTGTCCTCCAATGGGTACGATAATGGTCATCACCAGATGGGGCAGGGCTGACAGCATGCCAACCTGAATAAGACAGCAGCCGTCAAGCTCAGAAGCATCTCATGACCAATTGACCAAAGATGTGGTTCCACCACAGAAAAGAGAGAAAAGTCCAAAGTCTAATCTACAATAAAACTGAGCAAAGACTAGATTTTACTTAAATGTACATGGTGACAACCATTATGAAATAGTTAATTACACGTTACACAATTGCACATAAAAAAAAAAAACAATTGACATGCAACATTACTGTAATATGCAAGGCATCACTATTAATTAGTATGTTAATTCTACAACTAGACGCAAAGACATGATTTCAGGTTTAACTGTAGGAAGTGAGGAAACAAGAGCAAAATGAGATGCAAGCACAGACTTAAATCACCAATAAATGATTAATGAATAATTCATCATGAACTATTCACAATGAATAATTCATCAACCTATTTCAGACCTTAGGGAATGACAAAGGTCACCCATTTACTGATATACAATGGAATTATAGTCAAAAATCATATGCAACTTAGATACTAAGGCTAGGCATTTTGATCCAATCGCTGATTAAGTAATTGTTCATTTTTTAATCAATCATGCATTTTGTATAAAACAAATACCAATTTAAATGCATGCAATATAAAAGCTAAACTGAAATTACCTTGCTAATCTCAAAGCCAAACACCTCCTCAAAGTATGCAGGCTGGCTGATGAGCAGCAAGTAGAAGGTCCAACTCCTGCAGAAGTTGGCCACAATGATTGCATAGACAGGCATGGACGTGAAAAATTTCTTCCAAGGCGTCTTGAATTTCTGTAGGAGAAATTAGTATTGCAGCTTACTGAGTGAAGTGTTACAATAATACCCATACTGATAATGATTTTCACGAGTTCACACTTACATACAATTAAGGGGAATAAAGTATAATGCGTATTTGGCGTGCTGTCCAGGGGGAAGGGCTCCGAGCTCAGAATTCGGCCCGAACCCAGAGTACTCCCCCCTGTATGTATGTAAAGTGGTTTAGGACTAGAAGAGTGGAGAAGGGGTGGTGGAGGGACGCTGCTAAACTGTCAGAGAAATGAGGTGAGACTGCTGAGTCTATATATACACGTTTTAATCATGATTGCTGAGTGCTCTCCACCCGTGTTAATTATCTGAACGTGCTTCTCCCGAACTTTGTTAATAAAACATCATTTATCTGTCATGTCTTGAACATTTTAGATTTTTTGTCAGTACTGATGTACTCTAGGAGTGCATGGCATTTACACCAAAGAAATCAAAGTATTAGCTGACTGACATTTTATAGCATCAAAACAACTAATGTGCAAGACTTCTCTTATATGTATTTGATATGTTACAGATTTAATTAGATATCCTCATATGGTGACACTGAATATATCGGCCTCTACCTCAAAATCTATAAGACCACAATAGATTAACAAAATAAGTTTATAGCCTACTTTAAAGGCAACATGTTTTGGTGGCCACACATTTATCTCCTCATGTTTTTCAACACATCCTGGCTTAAAAATCCCCTAATATGCTTTTTCAAATATTACCTTTTATGTAAAAAGGTTTCATGTAAAAGGTCTGCAAAGTTTTAAAGAACAAAGTGCACAACACATAAAATGATTGTCTCCTAAAAGAAAGAGTTGATTCTGAACTGCCGAAATGAGTCGTCAGCAATTCCAGGGTAACATAATCTACGTAAGTTTGTAACAAATTTGCATAATGCCAGCCTATGGTCTTCATTGACGCGAACAATGTCTACTTAGTACTTTGGCCCACCCTTAAACAATGTAGTTGTAGCTGAGAATGTCGACATGTCGAGAAGACAGTTTTTTTTGCTCTGTAAATCCACTTTGCATGCTCTTCCAAAGGATGAGGACTTAAAACCAATGCCATTGTTACTGTTTATACTGTATATGCAAGTGCTGAGGAAGTCTCTGGAGCTAAAAATCTGATTTGGGCCCTGTCCCAAATGGCACACTCCGGACTTGTGGACTTCCTCAGAGTCCACACTTCGGTGACGTCATGTAGTGCAGACCTACAGGGCCCTTAGCGCGAGTCCGCGAGGGCGCATTGAGAGGTATTTTTGGGACAGACTCGATCGTCACGCCGGAAACAGGAAGACGGTCTGATTGTTGTTATGGACAGGAGCTACAGGTTCGGGGAAATATGCTGCCTATTGTTGTTGTGTTCACATATGACTCAGTAAAGCCCTGACATTCTGTTCTATTTATTTAATGAATCATAATGCGATCGTATTATTCAGCTCGCTGTTATTAGCCTATGTTTGAGACATCAACCACTGGTCGATGATCATAATGTTTGTATAAACTTGTCATAAAAACCGTAATGATAATTACACTTAAATATTTTCTTCTCAGCCATGTTAACAATTGTCTGAGCGAAATCTCCTCCCATCCGTTGTCTAATTGGCCTTTCGCAAGGATTCCTGGGTAGTTAAAGTGGGTGGAGCCTGCATCTATGCGGGCTTCGCGGAAGACCGCTTCAAGGGTACAAAGGGGGCGCTGCTGAGCACACTTCAGAGCGTTAAAATGCTAAATGGGACGGCCTACGAACTCGTAGACTCTGCGATCACACGCAATTTAAGTCCACGAGACCGAAAGTCTGCATGAAGTGCGCCATTTGGGACAGGGCCACGGTCATGGTGTTTCATTTCCAACACGTGCTGTAAGCAGTAGACCAATCACAACAGACTGGGCCATCTGACCAATCAGAGCAGAAGCTCTCGGAAAGGAGGGGTTAAGAGAGAGTGAATCCTTTATCAAGACATTTCAAATACTGTGAAAAAAGTGCAATGTATATTATGAGAAAATTAAAGTGTTTTTTGACCATGGATGCATGTAAACCTATTGTAGGAGACCTTCAAAATAAAATTAGGAACCTTTAAAATAGCATAATAGGGGAAATTGAAATAATTCTATGGTTTCATTGACCCTCTATCAAATTGCAAATCACTCAAAACAAGTTTTAAACTACAGCAATGTCATAATTTTGTTCACAGAAACTGCAAACAGGGGTTTCTCTCTCCATCAAAGCTCCCAATCTTAAAGAAGATCAAAATCTTAAAACAAAAAATATCCTATCCTTGTGCCAATTATTAACCTGATGTCAAAATAAATAGACAATGGCACATTATGCTGTTAAGCCCCTGCATACTGAGTCCGAAATTTTCGTATGCGTTTTTTCGTATCCGTGATTCGGTGGCTCTGAATTGTCAAAACACCATTCAAACTGCTACGGATGCGAAAAACACAGAAAATCGAACCCGATCCGATTTTTTTTTATGACGGACTAAAGTTTCTGAGGCGAATTTTGGACTGGAGTGTGCAAGGGCCATTAATCTCTATAATCTTTCAAAGCACAACCATATGAATTAGATTTGTGTCAAGCAACAACTGAGTATTATAATTACAGATAATTATAAGAGTGATGTTTATAGGTTTGCATGAGAGGGGATGTTATTCCATTAGTCAAACCATCTCTTTTTAGGACTTGAGTCCTTCAGTCAAGCATTTTGTGCTGTGATATTTTCTTCTGAGCCATATCCAGCTAGAAGTTTGGAGTGTGATTATGTTTGGGGTAACTCACTTCTGCAGGTCCCAGCAGCTTAGCGCTCTCTCCGATACTCTCCTCAATGAAGCAGCGTTCTTCAGCAGTGATGGTGGGATGTACAGCTGGGCTCTCATATGACACCAAGATCCAGAACATATACCAGAACATCCCAAAACACCCTAAAGAGAAACAAAGAATTCTTAGATGTTGATCTTAAGACAAAACATCATAAATTGATGTCAGATAAGAAGCAGACAGGAAGATCAGCTGACTGAAAACTCCTCATATAACTAAATGGATTACAGTTCATTGCTTTCCAGACAGAGCGTGCTAATTCTTGGCGCAGGGACAGGCAGATTCAGTGTCAGTGCAGAGGATAGACACATGGCAGCATCAGAGGAAAAATCTTTACTCAGCATCAGTACAGAGTTGATCCATACTACACTTACTAAAATACACTCATCAAGACCGTTAAGCACACTCAATTATGCTTCACACTATAACCATGGCTCATACAGTGGTGCACACACAAACCACTCTTACCATAGACATAGAAAACAGATGACCAGCCAGTGTACTGAACCAGGATCCCAGCTAGAGGCATGGCAATGACAGCTCCAGCATAGGAACCTACAGAACGGGAGAGGATGAGGGGCCACGTGAGAGCTCAAATGGAAGCAAAAACAGCTTCAACTCTGGCAGCTTCAAATCAAAATCGCTGAATACATGCCTTAAAACAACACAGGAAAATACAGTCCATGCATAAATAATGTTTCCTAGAATGTATCTTGAAATTTTAACATGCACACAATAATGAGGCAACTAAACAAAATATAATGACACACGATTTTCTTTACTATCCACTAATCTATAATATTTGCTTGAAAGAGAATAAAGATGTAAATTACCACAGAAAGAGGTTGTGGCTAGACGGCTTCTTTCCAGTGGAGGAGCCCATTTACTCCAGATCCCATGACAGGCTGGGTAGGTCACACCCTAGATAACAATAATACTACACATCAGGTTTATATTACAAAGAAATGTGCTTAGACAGATTTTGAGATTATTAAATTTGTATTTATTTATAAAACATTACATCAAATAAATCAATTTAAATGCAAATTAATATTCCATTTGTTATAAATAAAAGAATAATAATATATTATATTATACATTGTTGTCATGATGGAAGTAATCTAGTTGTCTATTTATAGGCACATGTGCCTCTACAGATCAATACAGGCAGCTGTACAAAAGACAAAGCCTGGGTTACTATTCTCTCAGAATATCCTCAGGCCATAACTGATTGTTACAGTACCATGGGCTTAGGAAGAATTCCCACAAATGGCTTTTTGAGAAAATATCCACCAAAGGCAAGAGCCCAAATTTTAGATATGAATACCTATAGAAGGTTATGATATTAGATCGTTATTAGCAAACAAGCAATTAGAATGAAATGAGAGAAAATCGTAATACCTCTACAAGCCCTTGTAATATCCTGACGAATATGACGCAACCATAGTGAGCACGTGCAGCTGAGGGGATGAACATGTTCAGTGTGGACGTGAGGAAAATGGCTGCGCCGAATACCCTGAATAACAGATGGAAACATGGTTTCATTATATAGACCATTGGATTATAGAATGCAAAAAAAGAAACATTCTTTAATTTTTACATTATTTCTAGTGTTTAAGGCTGTTCTATTTCACCTATGTAATATTTTGGTTTCATTAAACTCTACTTTAAACCAAAAAATAGGCCTATAATATAGCCTACAATTCAAATCTTCTTTCTGTGTAGAAAAACAACAACAACAAAAACAGGGATATTGGTCGCTCGGGGTGAAGCCAGCACCTACTGCCACAGAAGAAATACCGGTTTCCATTTATTTCCAATTTTCCTGACGTCCTGTAGAGCTCAAGATCCTTTCTCTCACCTCTCTCCCACCGGCACTCGCTAATCGGATTGAGGGAGTTCTCCGGCACGAGACTCGCTGATTCTATTAGATCTCAATCACGTCAACCAATAGCCGAAATATGAACTGAGAACTGATGTATAATTTAGCAGAACTGCGACGTCAATTATGTCAAAGATTTGACGTAGCCTACTGAGTTAACACAATTGCACAGCTATGTCGATCCTTGACATTGTTGGCAAACCATCAAAACAGATGTTTTAGCGAGAACCAATTGTGTCCAATGTTCCAAATATGTCCAGCTACCGACATGGTAGTTTTATTTTTTATAAATTTGTTGTGTGATATATGAGGCACTGCCAAACCCTCTGGCAGCATGTCCGGGGCTGGTTGCCATGCCCCCCTCATTGAGCAGATTAGACACGGTTCCCCCCGGGACCTCATTAACAGGTGGAGAATGCCCCACAGACAGAGTCTAATCCTACAACTCACACGACGGGTCAGCCTTCAGTCTGCCACTCACGCAACACCGAAACACGAGCAGACTCGTCAACCATAGCAATGAACTCTCTCTGCCTGTCTGTCTGAAGCCTTGATTTATTCGTTTGTTTATTTATTTGATTTCCTTTCCCCTTGAAAACTTGAATAAAAAATAGTATTGATAAGGTTTATATTATAATAATAAAATTAGAACAGCGATGTAGGCTATTAGCCTATGCCTTCTTTAATATTGACCATGGCCTTAAAATGGAAACGTTTGAAGCACTTGAGACGTTTTCCAAAACATCGGTATTTTAATAAAAAATTTCGTAAGTTAGAGATCTTTCTCCTTTCTTCGTTTTCTGTAACAAAATTGAATCACTATAAACTATAATAATGCAGAAAGTTAAGTAAGCTATAATAGGCTATAACTAAATTAATTTCACACAAAATGCGTGTCCTCCTTACAAGTCTTTACACAATCAACCAATCAATAAAACAAATTGGAGGTTGGGTTGCACTTGTGCAAAATCAGCTCCTCCCATCATCCTCTTCGTCTTCCAATGACAGGCAGATCCAGTAGGCGCTATGAATAACCAAAGTGTCTTAAATAATAGCCTACAGTATGCAGTCATAGTAGGCTTATTAGCTAGCTAATGAATACAACGAAGAACGCACCACGGAAGTAGGCCTATAGCCAATTTTTGCAGCTTGATTTTGCAAATGCGAATTCGGCTATTGCTTATTTCAAATAGACTATTTATTTCAATTATTTTTATATAGTCTTATGACTGAAGCCATGTAATAATTAGTTCTACTATTACATTCAATAATGTTTAATACATTTCAAATATATTTGTAATAGCTATTTAACGAAATTCCTTGTTAGGCATTATTTTCGCACTGCTTTCGTGTTGGGTTGACAAACACCTGGAGATGCGGCACTGGCTGCATTTGAACTTGCCAGCTCCTGTTATGTGCAGAAGCTCTGTGCGCGATCTGCTGGTTTGGAAAACGTGGGCGACACCATCTTTTAGTAGGCTAACGGGCGTAAGATGCAACATTAGGGACAAACATCTGTGATCCGTTTAAAACTAAATTATAGAATTCATCAATAAAATAAAGTATTGTTATAGAATATTCATTGTTAGTAAAATTGTTAACAATTAATTAGCATATTAATGTTCTTTCGTTACCATTGGGCTTTTTCTAGTATTGCAATGTGGAAAATATATCAACCAAATGCGACTTTAAAAGCAATTAATTACTGAAATAATACTAATATAAATAATAATAATCTGAATGAATTAACAAATACATACCAGTCTATGTTTCTAAAGCTTTACCTGTTTGCCGCCAGTCTAGAACAAATGTATCCTCCGGGAATTTGTGTCACAATATAACCCCAGAAAAACGAGCCATGGATCATTCCAACTGTTTCCGGGTCCCAGTTGAACTTTGCCTTCTATGGAAGAGAAATACCAGAAAATATCAGATTGCAAATCCTGTCTGTAAAAGGCGAGACAACTAAAAATATGAAAATTCTTCAGCTAATATGCACACGTTTCCACACACCACTAATAACAGGTTAAAATATAATATAGCCTATATGATAGCATTCGTTATGGGAAAAGATGAACTTTTATTTTTTTAAACATATAGGTTAGCACAAAATGTGCATTGATTATTGTGAAATGACAAGAGCGAAAGATTAGTTTCCAGCTGAAGAGTTAATCAATTTGAGGCTGATATAACCAAGGTCATTTTTTTGTTGTTGTTGCATAGCAGGCTACTTGTTTTCAATATTTTCCAAGCTAGTGGGGCATTCACTAAGCCTCTTTCCAACAAACCATTGTGCTTTTGAATTATTCCCTTTGTTATTTTTTGTATTTTCATAAATTGATTTCAGACTCTCTCTCTCTCTCTCTCTCTCTCTCTCTCTCTCTCTCTCTCTCTCTCTCTCTCTCTCTCTCTCTCTCTCTCTCTCTCTCTCTCTCTCTCTCTCTCTGTGTGTGTGTGTGTGTGTGTGTGTACGCTTATGGGCTGTGAGTGGGGGTGTCACGAAGCTGACGTGAACATATAAAATCCAAGCGTGCCACGCGCACAAACCTCTTTGATGACGATCTTTCCGTTCAGGTGAATGGTGCTGTTGTTCACCATGCTCACTATTGCCACGCCTAAGTTGCACCGAATACCGAAGGAGATGCAGAACCCGAGGCCGCTCATGACGGCGATGATGTAGCGGCGCGGAAGTCCGAAGCACGTGCAGTCGCACAAAGGTGGCTTTTTCTCACTGGTCTGGGAAGGCCGTCCATCCTCGGTCAATTCAATGTTGTCGCCAGGTTTTTGCCTCTTTTCTAGCACTCTGCATATGTCAGAAGAGAGTTGTCAGACTCCTTGAAGGACACTATAACGACTGTGGTCCGAATGAACCAATTAATAGGAATTGCATCACTTTTTATTATTGAAGCAACAATCATCGTTACAATCACAAACGCATCAAAATATCCTTTTGGCATTTAATTTAATTGAAATATATATATTTTTACAAGTAGGCCTACTCTAAACTGCACGGACAGATTTAGACTATAGGTATCGAAATGGCCTGCAGGAATAGTTTGCATATTTCTGTTTTTTTTCACAGATATTTTTATGTAAACTCCACAGGCTTCGTGTGCTGCTGTAAAGCGCACTGTATACCGCATTGCAGCATTCCCTTCACCTTCACCTTATTTACATTCACAGGGGCTTAGGTCCACTCATATTCACTAACACGATATTAATATTATTATACCAGTGACATGGGTATCCAAAAAGAGTTATTTACTTACAGTTATTTACTATTTCATTATTATTAATGAAAACATAGTATGTGCAGATAGATTCAATAAATGAATGTGCAAACACGTAGGAATATATTTGTTTAAAGAAATTAAAAATGTCATAAATTTCGATTCATTGATATGATTTAATTAGCAGATGTGACGGAATTAAATGCATTTTATTTTGTAATATTTTGCACGTGTAAACTGCATAAAATGCACATGAACTGCATTATGAATGTCAATTCAGTTGTTTAATATCAGTAGACAAATAAAAGACAATATCCCTGTATTTTGGAAAATACTCTTTTTTTCCAGACTACAAAATTTCTATAAGTAAACGAAAAAACTGAAATATGATGAGACACATGTATGAAATGTAGTGGAAAGGTATTTTCAGTTACGAAAGAACAATTCGTTCCTATGGTCGAGGTGCTCGATCTTTTTTCCCTTTTCATAAATTACAAAAAAGGGTTTTTTTAAAAAGGCACGCGCACAAAAATAACTCAATTTCAAGGAGCAACGTTAAATGATTATGGATCAACCGATTTTCTCATATGATTTCAATCGTGGTCTTTTTTGCAAGTATGTCAATCATCTCTAAAAAAAGAGAAGATACACTCAAGGGGATCGAACGATTACTATGCATAAAATAAATGCATTTTAATCACTGGGTTACAATGACAACCTTTCAAGATAAAAAAACTTGCATGCTTCCATCACCTCCTCCCAAGATTATGCAGAATTACATAATTTTCTGCACGTCTCCGTGAGGCGTGACGCCAAACCCGACCGGGGAAACTCGTTATTGAACAGATCAAACTAGCCACAAATTCGCGCATTTTTTGTTCCGTTATAGCTATAGCTAAAGTTCATATGTATTCAGAGCCACACTATGCACATATCTAGGCCTATTAATTTAAAATGACTGAATCAATTGGAAAATGTTAAAATATCTTACTTGTACATGCGCCCCAGTGTCTTCCCCGCTAGTTGCTTCAGCCCCTCTTTGCTGGGCACAAAACCAGGCTCCCTCGGAGTCTCCATGTCCAAATGTGATAATCCCTCGTTTTTCCCCCGGTAATGTTAAAGTACCATGTCACTGTGTGAGATGACAGAGCATACCGGACCGATACCCAGCGGATCAATGATTCAGTAAGACAGATGAGGAAAATTCACGAGCGAAAAAAAAAAAAAAAAATCCGCCTACACAAGAGAGATATCAGAAGTGCCCTGGCTCTGTCTACTCATAATTATAAACTCACAAACTGCCCTGCGTGCGATAAGGGCACGCGATGCCATCTCAGATTTGAGTCAATAAATTATTGTTAGCTTCAAATTGAGTTGGAAATAAAATCGTATTACAACAAATAAAAAACGAGGTATGATCAAATAAGAACTGGTCCAGTTCGTTGTCTCGCACTGTCACTTTTTTAGGTGTAAAGTGACAGTTAAGGGAGGTGAAAGCGTTCAGCACCAAGGTCAGCGACAGTCTCGCGATCAGAGCGGCGCGAGCTCCCGCCGCCACTCCTTTGCCAACTAGCAGTGTGTGCTGCGCGCAAGGCGGATCAATCCCTCAGTGTGCCAGCAGCAGCGGTTCACTTGCTTTGGGAGGGGTTGGAGAGGGCGGACAATGTTCACATTCCATTCACATTTTCTTTGATTTTGTCCTCAGATGATCTGATTATGTTCCACGTACGGGAAAATGATAGTTTTTCGATGCGTAGGCTGTATGAAAGGCACGTGACGTGACATTCGAAGTTTCTGCATTTGTGCTTTTATGCCTATTGCTTGTTTTCCATCAAAGGCCGTGCAAGCCTCCTGGGGGCGGTGCTATGGAAACCGAATGAGGGGTGTTTTCCCCCTCCAAGTGCGTGTGCTGGTGTGAAGAAAAAGCGTATTAATAATTCATACACATCTCGCAGTCGCAATACCTCCCTATGTTTCACTGTCCTCCACAGCTAAAATAAATAAATACAAATTGCACTTGTATGTGCGCGTATGTCACATTCGAGGCCAATACAGATCATTTTGAATTTTAAGTCTGTTTTTAAAGGCTGGGAATAATGCGGGATATGCTGGTGGGGCATTTTCATAAGTTACTAGTAATTTATTATTTTGATATCTTGATAAATCACAGAGCTCTTCATCATGGGAAAGTAACTGCGCTGTTGCGACGCTGTGCGCGTCCTTGAAAGAGGCACACAACAGGTTGACGATGGCGCGCTTAGTGAAGCGCAGGCGCCATCTTGTGTTCATTTACCATAATGCAGACAGTGCAGAGGACGCACAACAAGTGCTAACACATGTGATATACTTCATTTACTTTATTTTGGCACATTCTCGTCATTGGAGTGCAAACAATAAATTCTTTTAAAACCTTGATTCATGAATATTCACTTTTTTTTTTTCACACGGCTTTCATACAACTCATTCTGTAAACATTTGTAGGCCAAATAAAAAATACACATACATAAGTATCATTGTCAAAGAAAATAATTAAGGCAAAGGCATGGGTGACGTTCTCATCTGAACACAAAGGAATCCTAACTAAGTGCAATTTTTTTTGTTGATATTTTTAAAATGTCCCTGTAACATTTATTAAATATTGTCACATTGGGCACATAGATTATGTTTTGTTTTGAATATTTTTTTTTTTTTTTACAAGTATAGCAACACACAATAATCAGAATAATTCTGTAAACAGTAATTGTATTATCCATAAAAGATCAATAAAAGACAGCATAGATCACTCGACAGGCTAAAAATATATATATAGAGAGAATTTATAACACATTTGTGTGAAATTAACATGTATGGCTCACAAAATGTTGTGTACATGGAAGTCATGTCTAGTTAAATTGATGAGACACTTTCAAACACCTGGGACATAATATTAACATGTTTGCTTGTTTTCAAACCAGTCAAGTCTCTGTAGAGGATGGTTGGCACTGAGTGAATAGTGTTCATCAACAGTGCTACAGAATGTAGTAACCCAAACATCTCTGGATGGGGCAGCTCAAAAATGTTCTCTGACAGCCTGTTTCCCTGAAATAATTTGCCCCATCACTGCTGTAATATCAAATGCAGTTATCAGGGTGAATATCATTCACTGATGCACGGAGAACTGATGGCAAAAATCTGAACTGATCCTGTTAAGAGCAATTGTGCAGAACTCAATTACAGTGAAACAATATAATGAAAAAAAAGACTAGTGTTCTCCTAGTCATGATTAAAGACAAGAGCTAATGTTCATTATCCTCAGATATACGATATGTGCAAACATTGACAGAATGAGGTGATACATAATGGCTTGAGTTTCTGAAGCATCAGAAAATACATAGCAAGTCATTATAGAGCTTAAAACACAATCCTTCCACGATCCATCTTTCCAACCTGATAATAAATCAGTTATATGATTATTCTAAAGCAATAAATACATCCTTGAAGCAAGCTAATAATAATAACAAAAATATCTACATTTTAATATTACATTGAACAGAATGTGTGGGTAGCAAATTTTCTACAAGGTACAGTATTAATTAAAAAAATATCAACAATAAAATATAAATACTCTGAGAAACATGATAATGCAAGCACTACAGAAATTATGATGCTATTATGAGTTTCAAAAGGGGGGAAAAACTGCAGCTGGACAAAAACAAATATTAACTGTTAAATTAAAAAAAATCTTAAAAAAATTAAAAAAAAAACCCTGACAGATCAGAAAAAGAAAAGCAAAAAACAAACAAAAAAGACTACAAGTACCTCTTTCACAGTCATACATACAGGGAAAAACATGCAGATACATCTTCAAAAGAAAAAGGTTATGGCAACAAGCTGGACAGACGTAAAAGCTTTATTGCCTTCGAAAAACATTTTCATAAGTCTTTTAATGGTCATATCTGAACTTGCTCTTGAGGCAACATAAGAGGGTTTGCAGTTTAAATCACTGTGATGTGTCTCCAAGCCTTTCTCCATTGAAAGAGTGTAGTTATACAAGTGCACTCCGGACATGTAAAAAAAAAACACAACACAGAGGTACTGTTCTCCCATAAACCGCAAGCAGGAAAAAGCTGCAGGTTTGCATAATTGTTAGACGGGTCGTTCTTTGTAAAAGTTCTGGCAGTTGTCTGGATGAGGGCAGGCAGTTTTTTTGCAATAAATATTTGAAGGGGGTCCCGAAGATTCGATTCCTCCATGCTTTGCAGTGTACAGTACATTTGATTAGTCCTGAGGGCTCATGGATGTTCAAATACATTCAGAGAGCACCTGGTGTTTACTAGGACTAGAGGGCAGCAGTGAGGCCGTTTCTGTGGACAGGCAGAAACTCTGGCTCAGCTGCATCTTGAGTTTCTCCACTTCATAGTTGTGCAGGTATTCCTGAACCAGAAAGCGTTCCCGCTTTATACGCGCTTTCACGTCTGACGGCACATCTGGAATCAGCCACGCCACGAAGAATTTCACCACAAATACAACGTGCTGAGAAACGAGGGGAAACAGAGGAACAGTCATCATGTGCACATACTGTAAAACCAAGTTTAGACAGCTAAGGCCTGGTTTCACAGACAGGGTTTAGATCAAGCCAGGATTAGGCCTTAGTTCAATCAGGACATTAAAGTGGCTTTTATAAACGTGCCTTAGAAAAAAAAACATTACTGGTGTTGCATCTTGAGATGGCACTAACATTTTTAGTCTTAAGCCTTGTCTGTGACTTTATGCTTGTGTGTCAAATGGTAACTAAATGCTTAGCAAATGTTAATGTTCATACAGTACATGTCTTTCCATCAATGTATTGAGCTCACTTCATTTTCTTTATAAAAATTCAGATGCTAAAAACAATGGTCATGTTAAAGCAAGATCAGAGTACTGCTTTGCTAATTCTTATGCTCAGACATCATCACATACAGTTCTATTCTTCCATTTTCTATTTCTGCACAATTTTTTTCTTCTTTAAGTTTCAAGTAATCACGTTTTGAAACTAACAGACAGACCTATTATTTATTATATACCAGGGTTATTATTATCTAAAATTAAACCTATTAAAAACATTTCTGTTAATTGAAATAAAGCTAAAATAAAATATAAATATTAGTTGAAAAACTCAAACTCAACGAAAATTAGAAATTTCAGTTTATTTCCAAAGCAACATAAGTTGAAGCACTAAAATGATGAACTGGTAATAAATAAAAACGTCTCGGTTACGTATGGTAACCCTCGTTCCCGAGTAGGGATTGGAGACGTGAGTCAGAAGTGATTTCTGACCTATCTACTTTGAGGGAAACTAAACGAGCCAATGCACATTGGCATGCGATAATTGCACCAGCTGCTGTGCATCGCAGCTCGAGCATATAATAAGCAGCAGGTGCGTTCACATCCTTGTATTTCCGCTGAGGAGCCGGACCTGTGACTCGGCCGTACAGCGGAAGCTCAGCAACTGTGGCGAGGGGACTCACGTCTCTGTTCCCTCATCGGGGAACTAGGGTTACCATTCGTAACCGAGACGTTCCCCTTCGTCAGATCACTACAACGTGAGTCAGAAGTGATTCTGACGAATGGGGATATCTACCAAAACGCTCTGCAACGTCTGACTGCCGGAGGGGTGACGGAGGAACTCACAGGGTTAGCCATTTCTGGGGAACACTACTGGAGCAAAAAGACGCACGTATCCGGCCCATTGGGGCGGGAGTGGCATTGCAAGCTGACAGTAGCTATGTTTCCATCCACACGTTTTTATCCGAATTAAGTGATATCGAATGGAAAATGCCTCATGGAAACAGTAAAATTCGATTGAATTTCATGAATATCGACTCAAATGAAATCCGTTCGGTCTCATCGGATTTTAATCATGATCGATATACGGCTTATGCGATAAACGATGATGGAAACGTTATTTGCTGAATAAATAATGAATTGCGATTAAGTTTTAGGTCCTTTTATGGTTGCAACACGCCACAAAACATAGAAGAAGTTTTAGTTCATTTTCGCCCAGTATTTCCGCTCTGTTTGCGCACACATGGCGGGTGTCAACAAAGACAGATGTAAGTGGACAAAGCAAAAAAATGCTTCAACCAAAGGGTTTCCGTGAAGTGTCTCTGAACCACGATCTCCCAGAACTGTTTGGAGCGCTGTCGTTCCCACACCACAGGCCGCCTCCATTGTCGTCGGGCATTTACGTGCATCTGCATCATCATAGCAATGTGTTGATAGCGTCGTTGTTTTCTTATTATAGCTTGTTATTACATGGCTTGGTTGAATTCTAATGTAGAATGCGGTCTGTTATTTCTTGATAACAGACCGCTGCTAACACACCGTTGCCATGAAAAACAGACCGTTGCCATGGACGCAGTTCAGAGACAGAACGGACTATTTTCTTTAGCGGAAGCAATACAATCGTTTTTAAATCAAACTCCTTTTTAAATCAATATTTTGTGTCAAATTATTGATTTATTTGGTAGGTAGCCATGTAATAAGCGGGATAATGTATAGCGAGGCGGTTGTTATAGCGAATACAACCCATTCAGGTTAACAACCGCCTCGCATATACATTATCCCTTACATATGTCGCTATCAGCTGGCACATAAGCACTATTAGGCTACAACTTGTGCAATATTGATAATTTGTTGGTAGATGGCGGGATCCATTTTGTCTAGCAAAACTTTGTTCGCAAATGTTTGCTTGAATGTTGTGTGATTCAGTGTGAAAATGAATGGAAACACCTTAAAATGTCTCAAATCAATTCGATATACTAATTTGATCGCAAAACAGACGTGACGTCATTACGTACAGGTTTTTATTCGCTTTATAGCCGTTGGATGGAAACACACTTTCACCAGCTTTATTCGCATGAGTTTTTTTTACCGAACTTCAGATAATTCAATTGACAAATGGATGGAAACTTGGCTACTAAGAACGGGTCCCTCACGCTACTGGCCACTGGGGGCGAGTATATGGGAAGATATCAGCTCTACGCGGAGGCTATAGAATTAGCGAACGTGTTAAGTGTCGCCCAGCCCGCAGCTCTACATATATCTGTCAGCGAGGTGCCTTGAGCCAGCGCCCAGGAGGAAGCAACACTTATAGTTGAGTGTGCTCGCAACCCAAACGGGCAAGGCACACCTTGGGCTTCGTAAGCCAAGGAGATGGCATCCACTATCCGTGGGCCATCCTCTGCTTGTAGACAGCCTTTCCCATTCTGCTGGCCTCCGTAACAGACGAAGACCTGATCTGAGGTCCTGAAGCTTTGCGTTCTGTCCACGTATAACCGCAAGTAGCGGACGGGACAGAGAAAAGCCAGGGCTGGGTCTGCCTCCTTAGAAGGCAGCGCTTGCAGGTTCACTACCTGGTCCCTAAAGGGAGTGTTAGGAACCTTTGGCACATATCCAAGCCGGGGTCTCAGGACGTGAGAGTTGGCCGGGCCAAATTCTAGGCACGATTCATCGACCGAAAATGCTTGCAGGTCCCCTACCCTCTTGATGGAAGCCAGAGCAGTCAGGAGCACTGTCACAGGAGTGACAGGACCTTTAACTCAGCTGACTGCAGTGGTTCAAAGGGCGGTCTCTGCAGTGCGCTGAGCACCAGAGACAGATCCAAAGAGGGTATAGAGGGGGGTCGAGGCAAATTCAGTCTCCTCGCTCCCCTCAGGAACCTGACGATCAGGTCATGCTTTCCCAACGCCTTACCTTCAACTGCTTCATGATGTGCGGTGATAGCGGCAACATACACTTTGAGGGTGGAGGGAGACAGCCTTCGCTCCAACCCATCTTTCAGGAAGGAAAGCACTACTATGATCGGACATCTTCAGGGGTCTTCCCGGTGGGAAGAACACCATTCAACGAACAGGTTCCACTTCAGAGCATAGAGGCGACTCGTTGAGGGGGCTCTAGCAGAAGTGATGGTGTCTACCACCGCTTGGGGTAGGTCACCTAGAACCTCCGAGTCCCGTCCAGGGGCCAGACATGGAGTTTCCAGAGGTCTGGACGCGGGTGCCATAGAGTGCCCCATCTCTGAGAAAGTAGGTCCTTCCTCAGAGGAATGGGCAAAGGAGGTGCTGTCGCGAGGAGCATGAGTTCTGGGAACCAGGTCCGGTTGGGCCAATACAGCGCAACAAACAAGACCTGCTCCTCGTCCTCCCTGACTTTGCACAGTGTCTGTGCGAGAATGCTCACTTGTTCTAGGGGAACACCTGCCCGTAGAAACGAAGGGTCCGACCACGGGCTGAAGGTTGGAGGCAGTGCGGGGTGACGTGCACCCAGTGCATGCCGCTCTGCCACGCCCATCTCCGGACTCGGCCGTGAAGCCAGTGCTGAAGCGGTCTCATATGAAGCAATCCGAGCGGCGTTACTGTGGCTGTGGATGCCATATGCCCCAGGAGCCTCTGAAAAAGTTTTAGTGGGACCGCTGTCCTGCTCTTGATTGTACTCAAGCAGTTCAACACTGACCGGACGCGCTCCTCTGTGAGTCATGCTGTCTGGTTGACCAAGTCCAACTCCAAACCGAGATAAGAGATCCTCTGCACAGGGGAGAGTTTGCTCTTGTGACAGAGCACCATGTCCCTGCGTTCGCACAACTGATCCCGAGACTGAGCCAGAATCAGCCAGTCGTCGAGATAGCTGAGAATACGAACGCGGTGTTCTCAGAGTGGAACAATGGCTGCCTCAGCGACCTTCATAAAGACGTGGGGGGACAGGGACAGCCCGAAGGGTAGGACTTTGTACTGATATGCCCATCCCTCGAACGCAAACCGCAGGAACGGTTTGCGTCGCGGGTGAATCGAGACATGAAAGTACGCGTCCTTCAGGTCGATCGCTCCAAACCAATCTTGGGGACGAATGCATTCAAAAATGCGTTTCTGCGTGAGCATCTTGAACGGGAGCTTGTGCAGGGCCCGATTCAAGGTTCGCAGGTAATGGCCAAGAATGGCCGTAACCCACCACCTTTCTTGGGTACAATGAAGTAGGGGCTGTAGAACCCTGTCTTCATATGTGACCTGATCCAGCAAAATGAGTCACAGTGACCCAAATTTAAAAATTGAGATTTTGGTATTAATGGAAAGAGGAGACCATAAGCTTTCAATTGATATCCTAGTCAAAGTCATACCTTGAATGGTTGTAAAGATATACACATTTGAATTATGGTCGTCTGCCCTCTTTTTCCAATTGAAAACCTGAGAAAATCGCTTTTAAAGTTTTTTGCCCATTTTTTGTTGATATCTTTCAAAATCCATTACATTTAAAGGGATAAACTATTTATTTTACAGCTTAATTTGACCAAAGACATTAATATATAAATGCTATTAAACCAGGCTGAAGCTCAAATTATTTTAAAAGTTTTTATTTGAATAAATAATTTAACAGTAGGCCTACCTTTTACAAAAATGTACTAAAATCAGAAAGATTGAACAGAGGTGCTACATTTTTGCTTGAGAGAGAGGGTGTCTGTGTGTGTGTGTGTGTGTGTGTGTGTGTGTGTGTGTGTGTGTGTGTGTGTGTGTGTGTGTGTGTGTGTGTGTGTGTGTGTGTGTGTGTGTGTGTGTGTGTGTGTGTGAGAGAGAAAGAGAGAGAAAGTGAGAGGCAGAGATCAAATAATGCTAGTCTATGCAATCATATCTTAGTGTAGGCTAGTTGACAATAACAGCGTAACAAATTCATAACGGAGATACCAACAGTTAAATATTGGGTTAATCAAACACATTGTAATGGATTCTGCTTGCAGATAAATTGCTACACTCATTCACATTTGTCAATCACGTTATGTCAATCACGCGTGCACACTACGACACTTTCATCCGTTATATAAAAACAATCGTAAGTTTTTCGCATCCGTAGCAAGCAGTTTAAATGGTGTTTTGACAGTTCGGAGCCACCGAATCAATACGAAAAAACGCATACGGAAAAAACGCATACGAAAAAAACGCGGACTCAGTGTGCAATGGCCAAGGGGCTTGATGACGCTTTGGCAACTTTGCTCACTTTTGACAGCGACATTTCTCAAATTAATATTATTTAATGTTTCTGAGGAGATCTGCTAGCTTGTTTATTACACAGAGCGCTCGCTGCGAGTCTGACAGGAGGGTGGCTGGACCAATCGCGTGCCGGTCAGTCGAAACGGCTTCCCATCGACAAATGATCAGCATTTGTGTACATTTCTAAGCTTTTTGATTGGTTCTATACAACGTGTAACACCATTTAAAGAGCAGAGATATAGTGACGTTTCAGGGGATACCCGGGAAATCCTCAGAGGTGACGCGAGGAGTTGAGAAAAGCAATGTTCATTTCCAGCGAATTTAGTAAGACTTTGTACACTTTAATAGTAATTTAAATACCTTTACTCAATTATCTGGACTACGAAACTTTGGGAGATTATTTTTGAATGTCTGTTCTTTGAAATTAGCACAAAAAAAAAAATCTATTATTTCATTGTTTTTCCACATAATCGGCCCATATCTTAAAATAGATAGCCAGATCGGGTCACATATCGGCTTGAGGGACCGGCTCCATCACGTCCTTTGCCAGTAGGACAGATCTCTGCCCACAAGACAGGAGCATCGCTGCTCCACACAGAAGCTGCTCTTACTGAGAATTTGGGTACCGCTGACTGAGACGCCAGTGGCGGAACAGAATTTGAATAAACAAAAGATTCTCCACCTGGCCCTCCACCAGGGAAGAACAGCTGACTCTGGGTCCCCCGTCTCATGCGACAAGCTCTTGGTTACCTCAGCCTGCTTCTGAACTGTAGAGAACCGCTGGGCACAGTCTCCAACAGTGTTGCCGAAAAAGGCCACCTCGTGAGATGGGAGCATCGAAAAAGCGAGCTTTGGCGATGTCTCGCACCTCTGCAAGGTTTAGCCCAGGAGCGCTTCTGGACCACCAGCGTGGACATCGTCTGACCGAGGGCCAGCGCTGTGACTTAAACAGCGCACATTCCCTGCATGTGATGGCCCTCCACAGGCCATCACATGCAGGGAAGAGGCGGTCTGCCATTAGCAAAGCCATCCCACCACCAAGGGTAGTGAGAGAGGAAAAACTTTTTCTGCAGATTTTGGCAAGTTTGGCTTGCCATTTTGGCGCCAATATGCTTCCATACTGCCAAAGTTTTTCACACACATCCGGGCAGGCACGGGGGCGGGGCAAAGTGATTACGCGTTGCACTGCGCCCCCAGAGTAGCCCGGGAAAGTGTGGCTGTCAAGTCTGAATCTGATTCAGCATGAGAACACACACCATTACAGTGGGAACTCAGCATCATCTTCATTTCCAGAGTGTAACAGCCCTCTCTCCGATGCAGCGATCGACATCTGATCCTCCCCTGGAGCCCCGAATGAAATGCTTGGTCCCTCATAAGAAGGACCAGTAATCCCATCCGAAAGCTGCCAGGCATGTGAGACCGTGAACGTGGCCATGAGAAAGGCAAAACGAACAACGTGCCGACGTGGTCATGCTCTCATAAGAGAGCATAAACCACCCACGAACACAGTCTCAGCATGTTTGCGATGTGCTAGAGGAGTGAGGGGCCCGAGGAGGTGGTCTCGTCGGGGAACGCCCACTGTAATCCTCAGATCACCAGTGCTATTAGCCAAAGTAGCCCTTTTCTGGTGGCCACCAGAAGAGGAACTAGATCGGGGAATAGGCAAAGGGACTCCACCTCGTTTGAGGCACCTGAGTCTCAACCGCGCATCTTGAGCGCCAAACGACGCACGCTGGGTTGCCGTGACAACCCGCGCTGTCAGCCGGCAGCTCGACGGCACACGGCACGCTGAGCAGCTCAAGCCTTTACGAGAAAGGGAAGATGAACAACGTGGTCATGCTCTCGTGAGAGAACATGAACCACCCACAAACGCAGTCTCAACATGCTTAAGCCCAGGCATGTGAAACGTGGCCGTCAAATGAGGACAGGAAAGGACCGCATCCAGAAACACACGGTTTGAATGACATCTTGAAAATGACGCAGTCAAACCGTGTATGCTCCTTTAGGAAACTGCTCTCTCTGGTGCTGAAGCACCCAGGGATGACAGCGGCTACACAAACAGGACGATAGTGCAAGCTAACTTATGTGAGCACTCACATTCTCATTGAAGTCGCAACATTCTGAGCTGTGAAAACAGCTGTTTTGCTCTTTGTGAGATCGCGGCCAGCGCTGTAAAACCAACACCAGCTTGAAGAGGCGTTCTCCTGAAGAAGCAGACTCGTCTTTTGAAGTTAAAACACTCTCAGATAAGATTGCCAAGCAGGAACAGCATTCACCGTCTGGCTCCGAAGCGAAAGACAAGGATGCAAACGCACCTGCTGCTTATTATATGCTCGGGCCGCGATGCACAGCAGCTGGTGCAATTATCGCATGCCAATGTGCATTGGCTCGTTTAGTTTCACTCGAAGTAGATAGGCTCTCGCAAGAGATCCCCATTCGTCAGAATCACTTCTGACTCACGTTGTAGTGATCTGACGAAGGGGAACTAAAGCTAACAAAAACTCAAATAACATTTCTATAAACACTCTCCAGTCTTTAGTGTCACTTGATCCAGAAAAAAGTCTAATTTGCTGATTTGGTGTTTAAGAAACATTTATTATTTTTATTATTAATGTTTATAACGGTTGTGCTGCTTCCTATTGTTTTTTTTTCTTCTGGAAACCATGATGCATTTTTTTTCAGGATTCTTTGATGAATATAAAGTTCAAAAGAACAGCATTTATTTGAAATTGATCAAAACTGACAGGAAAACCTTTTACAAATATGTTCTATTTAACATGTTCTTGCTAAATTAAATTACTATTCAAAAGTTTCAGTCAGTAATATTTGTATTAGTGTAAGCTACTGAACTTAACGATTGCTAACTTTCTCTTACTTGCTTTTCCAATTCTCTACTTCACTTTCCTGATCACAGGATTTATATCCCAATAAAAAAATAAAAGTTATTATAAATTCTCCTGCATATTCCACCATATTAACTCTAGGTTTCCTAAAATTAAATGAAGAGTCCTTTGGATCATGCAGTTGCTTACTTCCATGATGATGATGAAGGCTAGCTTAGCAGCCAAGATGTGCCAGAACTGCATTGTGTGTGTGTATTGCTTTTCATGGCCGGGTGGGTATCTGTAGTCCCGATACCTGGGAAAAAAATAAATTCATCATGCTGTTAATTTAGTATATAGAAGTGTAGATCTAATTCAAACTATAGTTCCCACTAGGCAATCACAAACCTGCATGTCGTGATGGTAGAGCTGTTAAACCAGGATGGGTTTTCTCCAGGTTCGGGTAGGTTATCTTCAGGGATCTGAGAGATGTTGTAAAAGGAGAGGCTGTTGGTGATGTAACCTCTCATAGTGGCCTCGCTGCCTTGGTGGTAGGCGTACAGATAGACCAGACGAGGAATCATATCTGAGGTGAATGCCATGATGAAGGCCTCAAGTGCAAATGAGAGGAGAAAATAAACCACAATAGATTTTAAGTATGGTGGAAATAATGCTTGATTTCACTAAAATCAGTAAACTATATTTAGAATGAGCACGTTAAGCAAGCCACATCCAATTTTACACATACAGTAAAATTATGGGATGAGTCAATTAAATAGAAAGCAGAACAAAACAGTTTGCATTTACATTTGTGACTACGGACAAGATGGCCACCACATTAAGGATCTCTTCCCACGCTCCTATGTTGCGTGCCTTTGCTGCCACTGGCCTTCTGAACTGTGTGGTAAACTTCCAAGCATCGACTCGCACCTCCAGGATGTTGTTGAATAGGGCAAGAAGAGGGGCCAGTGGAAAAGAGGCTACGAAAAGTGTTATGAAGCCAAACTGGATCACTGTTTAAAACACACAGGAAACAACTGGTTTAATTGATGAATGAATGAAAATGCTCACAGAAACCCCTAGCAGATTTGAAGATCCAGATCCTTACTTGAGACTTCTTTTATAACAAATATCTTTTTTATGTATGCATGTATGTATAATAATAATAAAGAAAAGTATATAATATATATATATATTTTCATTTATATTAACAAAATGTATTATATTAAGTCTATATTTAATACATACTACTGTTCAAAAGTTTGGGGTCAGTAAGATTTTTTAATACTTTCGAAAGAAGTATCTTATGCTCACCAAGGCTGCATTTATTTGATTAGAAATACAGTAAATCAGCAAAAATGTGAAATATTGTTACAACTGTTTTCCATTTTAAAATGTATTTTATTTATTTGATGGCAATAAAACAAATCATTCTAATATGCTGATTTTCTGCTCAAGAAAAATGTATTATTATTATCAATGGTGAAACAGTTGTGCTACTTAATATTTTTTGAAATATTAAAAGAAAGTTCAAAATAACTGCATTTATTTGAAATAGAAAGATTTGTAACAATGTAAGTCTTTACTGTCACTTTTGATCAATGTAATGCATCCTTGCTGAGTAAAGTAAAAAAAAAATTTAAGTTTATTATACAATATTATTTAATTTAGCACAACTACATAAACAATACAAATAAATTATAATAATAGTAATTCTAGTACACTAATTCTAATTCACTAGTGTTTTGGTATATCAACACAAAATAACTCCAACATGTACGTGTGTAAAATCGTACCCATCTCCAGATACTCATAGAAGAGTCCAAACTGGCTGAAGTTCTGCAGATCGTGGTCCTGCTCCCATCTACTGTATGTACTTTCTGGATGACTCCGCCCTTTTCTGCTGCCCCACCAGTTTCTGAGAAGTCTGAGACACAGACACAAAGGGACCATTATGTGTTTTCTTGGATTTGAAAATTGCCTAGAGGACAACTACATTCTGACCTTCTAAAAATACATATACGACATAAATATGCAAGTATAAAACAAAAACCAAGTCAGTGTTAGAGGTCAAAGTTCATAACGCTTACGGAAGCAGAGCCTCCTGGACGTTCCCAACCATCTGTTTTCCAGCCATGACGATGAGCAGCTGTGTGGTCAGCTCAATCAGACAGCCCCCGGGGGCACACTAAATATTAAAATGCATGTTTCATGTTAGAACTACTTATTTTGAGATTCACCTGAAGAACATTAGGTCCTCTGGAGAACTGATATTTCAGACTGTCTCACCTCTTCATTTCTCAGACTGGTCCATTTTCCAAACATATAACTGTAGTTTCCCGGATAACCCACAAACTTCCCTTTAAAGAAGGCCACATAGAAACAGGAAGAGTAGTAGTTCACAAACTGGAACATAAACATCTTCATGGTCAGCTTGTTCTCATACTCCAGATGGGTCTTGGGGATCTCTGAGAGTTAAAAACAGAGGAAGTTCATAAAATATTTTTTCATACAGCTTAGCTGTACAGATGAGCAAATATGTGAAGGATAATGTACAGTCAAACGGCCATTATCGGAAAATAAATGCACACCGTATTGTTATTTTGTAATAATCACAAGCCGGGTTTCCATTACAGATTTGCACAAAACCTTTGCATTATTTTCTAAATGTCGATAAAAAAAATTGCGAAATTGCGTTTCCATTAACCGATGTTATGCAAATAAAATGTAACTTTTTCCTCTCGCGATAAGTCATTCCAAAAATCATGGCAACGGATGTTGGTAGGTTTACATATATCAAAGCCACCGCACTAGCCATTATTTTTAATCAAGGAGACGTGGGCATGTTATCCAAGCATTATTGGCAAGGAAAGCCCCTTATACTGAGAAGCGGCATAAGGTGTTTCTGGGTGTTTCTCCCTCATATCTTCTTCAAGGTCTTGATAAATTGTGACATTTCTTTGTTGTTTAGAATCAAGTATTCTCGTAATTCTTTTGTATTTTATGAGTTTAATAAAGAACTCTCTCTCGTCTTCTGTCCAAACATACCGTGTCATTACGTCAGGTGACCTGTAAATGCAGAAAAAAACTGTTTCCATTGCAGTTTTGCGAAATATTCCTGTTTCAAACTGCCTGAAAAACCACGTCATGCGAGCGTAAAGACATTTTTGTGATAAATGCGAGTTTTTGCGAAATTGACGTGTTTCCATTGGGCGCATTTTCAATTCGCAATTTCAATTTGCGCAATTTGAAGGGTAATGGAAACGCGGCTACAGTACATTATCCAGCTTAGTACACACGACAGCTACTCATCAAATAAACAAAGTGGACACATTAATTACAAACTGTAATTAATTACATTAACTACATTAATTATAGTCCTTCACGTCTATTGCGATCTCAAAGTTCTGGCCAGTTGATAATACCTAGAATATCAAAATCGACTGCTGGCGGTAGATCCTTTTCCTATTTAGCACCAAAACTTTGGAACAGTCTTCCTACCATTGTCCGGGAAGCAGACACACTCTGTCAGTTTAAAGCTAGACTAAAAACACATCTCTTTGACCTAGCATTCACATAATACATTATCGACTTCTATAATTCAATGTTAGGCTGCATAGATTAGGTCAGCCGGAACTGGGAACACTTCTCTTAAAGAATAATGGCATCTACGCTATTTTTAGTGTCTTTGTTTATCCCAAGGTTTTCCCGCAGCCTGCCCGATCCAGGCCGTATTCAGATCTGACGAAGGACCTTCGCCGATGACAACGCAGTGCTGAAGTGCCAACTAGCCTCTCCCTATGGAGGATCCCTATTCCACTCTACAGATAAAGCGTTGTGGAAATTAGGGTTCACGTACCAACCCCGAAGTGATAAAATAAAATAAAATTCTGTATCAAAATGTATAGGCAAAACAAGTAGTCTGTTTAGGCATGGTTTCTAGGGAATTACAAACCTGCGCACATATATTCAAACGCACATAACTATAGAATCAATTCTTAATGTGCATGTGAACGCCATCAGCGTTTATCACAGGTTCGCGTTTAAAGGTGACCTATAATTCAAAATTGAATTTACCTTGGTATAGTCAAATAACAAGAGTTCAGTGCATGGACATGACATAGAGTGAATCTCAAACTGGACTGTTTTCGCGTTCTCATTTAATTCACGTTTATGAAAAACACCCCTGAAAAACGGTCGGTTCTCCACACAATACCGACTGTGACGCAATAGTCGGGATCATTAATATGTACGCCTCCAAATATTTGCATAATGCCAGCCCTCAATGCCAGGCGGAACTGCGCAGCCGACGCATGGCAGTTGCTCAGTGTGGATGTACACATGAACACAAAAGTATTTTTTAGTTCCTTCATCTGAGCCTCTGAAGAAACAATGGGTTAATTTTATTTTCTCTGGAAATTTTCAAACATTTCACCGACTGTTTCCTCAACTTGGGCAAATACAGAGCTGGCCTCCGATCGAGCTACCAAGCAACACTTTCTGATGTGTAATTGTTCAAGTTCAGACAGGTAATCTTTCTCTCAAAATCGTTCAATACTGTTTATGCATCAGTAAGTCAAGCCAGTGACTAAAATATCAGCTTCACATCGTTTCTTTTAGTAGGATGAAAATAATCGTATTTAAATTGTGAACAAATTATATACAGAAAGCGATCAAAGAACAATCTTTCCACACAGCGCGAGTTTATCTGGACACTTGCCAAACTCGTTATGAAATCAATGACGCATGTTACTGCACAACGAAGCTCTTACTGTATTTACATCATCGTGTTTGCATTGGTGAAAGCAGAGAGAGTGCAGAAACTGCTTTGCAATGATAAGATCTTCATTCTCGCGATCAACAGACTGTCATCTGCTCAATGCTCATCACAGCAACATTTTATGTGATGGGAATAGGTCTAAATACTTTAAAAACATCTCACGATTCGTTAATCTCGATAGCTGTTATAGTAAAAACGTATAATAGCAGTAGTAAAAGTATTCGGGAGAGAGTTTCACATGTACTGGGTAGCTATTTCATATGCAAGCATGTCAGCCAATCACAGCAGTGGCCGCGGTTACACTAAATCCCACAGCAGACACGCCCCTTCAAACAGAGTGTTCAAATCAGAGGCTAAAAGCAGGCTAGGAAAAATGCCATTTATTTCTAAATTATGATTATTTTTTATCTAAAAAACATACTAACATTATAAGGGTAACCCAGGAAACATTATAAAATAATTAAAAAAAACATTCTAGGGCACCTTTAAAGTCTGTTTAGAGAGAATGGTGTCATCTTAGCAGCCCCTAATTTAATAACAAATGATCATTTCAACGGAAGTGAATCAATCAAAACTAACTTTAGCTGTAAAGTAACATTATTCAAGAACCGCTATAAAACCAAACCAATCTCTGTTACCTTAAATTATATTAAGTTTATCTCTGTAAAGCTGCTTTGAAACAATCTACATTGTTAAAAGCGCTATATAAATGAGGATGACTTGACTTGACTAATTCATTAATTATACAAACTGTAAACTTGCGATTTTCCGGAGCTTGAGATGCATTGAACATGTCAAACACACTCAATAAATATATCTCGAAACTGCTTTTCTTGTGTGAAATGAGGATGCGGTTTTCGCTCACCCATATCAGTGATCCAGATGGCCACTTGCTCATAGAGGAAGTTGAGGATGAGGATAATGACAAAGTTGATGCATGAAGCAGTGACAGAGGTGGCAAGTTGAGGAGTGATGAGAGAACCCACAAGCTGGATCTTACTGGTGGGGCTGTCCTTCATGACGCTGGCGAATGCTGCATAAACCGCTAATCTGTAAGCGATCACCCCCATTATACAGGCCACTATCAGAAACGTCTGACAAAACAAAGAGAAGAAGGGACTTTTAAACAGATTGAACTTTCTTTAAATTAGCTAGCTAGAACAGTGTAGGAAATTGGTAGAAAACTCACCCAGAAGAGAACAGTTGCTCCAGACAGGCAGAATCGAGCACACTTGCTGGGGAAAGAAAGATAAGGCTCCATTTCCTGTTAGAATAAAGAGAGTGTCAGCAAGCCAATTAGTACTACAAGTGTTTAGTACTACAAGTTAACCTGTGGTGTACCTCAGGGGTCTGTTCTTGCACCTACTCTTTTTTCTCTCTATTTACTTCCCTTGGGGTCCATCTTTAGGAAACACAGCGTTTCTTTCCACTGTTATGCTGATGATATGCAAATCTATCTGCCTTTGACCACGGAAAAAAAGCATGTTCTTAATAGTTTATCAGCGTGTCTGGATGACGTAAAATCATGGCTCTCAAAAAATGTTCTTTTCCTAAAAACTCAGATAAATCGGAAGTTATTGTCTTTGGCCCCTCTGAAACTAGAATACAAAACTTACCTAATCTTGGGTTCTTAAATCTTGCTATTTCATCCCAAGTGCCAAATCTGGGTGTGGAAATCGACAACGGCTTGAAATTTGACAGGCAAATTGCCTCTGTAGTGGGCTCTAGTTTCTTTTATCTTCGCTCTCTCTCTAAAATTAAAACCTTTCTTTCTAACGCCTCTTTAGAGGTTGCTATCCATGCCTTTATTACATCTCGGCTGGATTACTGCAACTCTCTATATTATGGTGTTTCAAAGACTCAAATTTCCTGTCTACCAGTTGCTCAAAATGCAGCAGCTAGATTCCTGAAGGGATGTAAAAAATGTGATCATGTTACACCCCTTCTGAGATCTCTACATTGGTTACCTGTTCAGTATAGAATTGAATATAAAATTCTATTACTGGTCTACAAATTTTTAAATAATCTTGCACCATCTTATCTGATGGACTTACTTCACCCGTACACTCCTAAGCGAGGACTTAGATCGGGAAACAAACTCCTCCTTCACATTTCCAAAACCCGCTTGAAAAAAAGGGGAAATAGAGCCTTTGAAGTGGCTGGCCCCACTCTGTGGAATAATCTCCCGACCCAAATTAAAACGGCTTCCACTTTATCTGAGTGTAAAGCTGCCCTCAGAAACATTAAAAACAGGATAAATTACATGGTAAAAGCCGAAATAAACAATGAGTTTTAAGTGATTATTGATTGATTGTTATTTATTGTCTATCTATATTGTAATTATTGTACAGCACTTTGGTAGGCCGGCGGCCGGTAGTAAATGTGCTTTAGAAATAAACGGAACTTGTTTAAGTGCAACTGCAGTCATGGTACAACATGTAAATGTATTTTGTGTAAATAAAAATGATGATTAAACAACATATAAAAAACATATATGAGACGATGAATAAATTAATTTTAATCGAACTTTAGAATTCTCAAAGTTAACAGGGAATCCAAAACGACCCCATTTACGTTCTTAATAAACGTTTCTAGGTTGGTGTATAACAGGACTCTTCTACTGCAGACTTCAGTTCCAACCCTAATTAAACACACTAGTCTGTGATTTAAAAGCTATTCTGAACACAGTGGTTGGCTTGTTTTGGGTAAATTCAGGAAAACACTGGCCCTCCAGGACTGGATTTGAAGAGCCCAACGTTTTTTTAGTACATTTACACTAACATTCAAAAGTTTGGTGTCTGTGAATTTCTTTCTGTTTTTTTTTTTGTTAATTTCTCCAGGATTCTTTGATTAATAGGAAGTTCAAAAGAACAGCATTTATTTTATTTTTTTTGCAATGTAATGTAAAAGTTTACTGTCACGGTTGATGATTTCAATGCATCACTGCGGAATAAAACAATTATTTTCATTAAAAAAAATCTTACTGAACCCAAACTTTTGAACGGTAGTATAAGTGGCAAATCCTCACCAGACAACATGTAGAGTTTTGAATGCTTGAGAAACAAAATCTCTGACATAAATTACAATTAAATGGAGTATGGAACATGGAACAATAACTAAAATGGCTGATTTCACAGCAGAAGACTTGTCTTTGCCATGTTTATGACAATGTGTTAAATGATGTGGCAAAAACCAGTTTGGGCAGAAGACAAATGCAAATATTTACTCGGATCATGCAAATTATTTAAAACATATCAGGCAGATTCTCAGTCGCAAATCAACACGTGACAAAGGCTATTAACATAGTGTTATCAGCATGCATTCGAAATCTGAAAAAGCAACATGCTTGAAAAGACCTGTTAACAGAAGCTCTTTGAAGTGTTCAGTTTTCATTCTTCACCCTGCTTTTGATTTTTTTGTCCCGTTATATTCTCACGTTCATGAGAGCGCCACGACGCAAACGCGAGAGCTGAGAAGATGACGCAGATGGGCCTCGATGTAGTGTTTAAAATGGTTCTAAAGTGTGCATTTCCTGGATGTCCGAATCGTGAGAAACCAACGAGAAAACGTAAAAGAGCCTTTACCAATGCCCCAAAATGAATGGCTTACCTTTCACACTTTCCCATCAAATGATCGTGAGCGTCATCTTCTCAGTTCTCGCGCATGCGTCGTGGCGCTCTCGTGAACTCGCGTCAGAGGCCCACACAGAATGAATAGTTGAATAAAGTCGTTATTTTAATTTTATTTCTTGTGCACAAAGTATTCTTGTCGCTTGATAAACTTAAGGTTGAGCCACTGTAGTCACTTGGACTATTTTAACGATGTTTTTACTAACTTCTCTGGATTGGCAGAATGAAATTGCCTAGAAGCCTATGAAGGAGTGAGACAGCTCTCGGATTTCATCAAAAATATCTTAATTTGTGTTCCGAAGATGAACGAAAGTCTTCTGGGGTTGGAACAACATGAGGGTGAGTAATTACTGACATAATTTTCATTTTTGGATGAACTAACCCTTTAAATCATGCTGTAGTGTTTGCAGGTACCTGAGTGAAGCGGTTGAGTCTGTGGCCTGTGCACTTCAACTCATACTCTGGCCTGATCTGTAGCTGCTGCTGTTCCTCTTCAAAGTCCACAAGGTCCCACTCATATTCCAGACGGGCCTGCCGCCGTTTCCAGAACTCTAGGAACAGGGTCACTGCAAATCACCCAGAGAAAGAAAGAGACAAACAGAGCAGAAGAAAGAGAAAATACACTTTAGGAGTATATGCTCAAACTTACTATCAATTCAATTTAAATCTAACCAGCTTCACACATAGTGTCACACAGTGTTTCCCTCCTTATTAAAATAATTGTACTTCGAGTTAATCTTACAAAAGTTTAGAAACTAAATAAACATTTTTAAAATGTATGAATACACAGTGCACTGGGTGCAGGAATATACACACAGTGCTGATTAATCAAATCACTGCATAAGCAGAGCTCATTTTGAGCCCTGTGTGAAATTAATTCAGAGTTCAGTAATGGATAATCAGCATGCATCACTATCCTAAAGTGATTACAGACACATTTTCAAAAAAGCATACACCAATTATGCTCCTTCATTGTAGATTTATTTAGTGAACAAATTCTGTGACAATTTGAACACTTTGAAATGCTTCATGCACAGTTACTCCTAATCTCTCATTAGATATTGTGTCTACCTAGATATATCTGATGACCTCTAGATGGAGCTATTAAGCTAGTATTTTGAACAATAGAAGTGCACTCACCCCAAATGCCCATGAACATGGCGAAGAACACAGTCCCCTCATTATCAAATAGATGGGATTGCTGAGAAAAAAGGATCACATATGAGGAAAATCTGTCTATGATGAAGGGACAGTGCATCTAAAACTTGCTTTCTCACCCAGGAGGACAGACATGTTGAGTTGAGTTTCCAGTAGCTACACTTTTTATCACAGAGTGGACACATGACAATCATCCCTCCAATTTCTGGGCCACAGATCTCCTTGCTGAAAAGACAGAGAGGAGAGAGAGAGATGGGGAGAAATATTACTGTAATGCAGAAGTGAAAATCTCTGTGACAACATTTTCTACTACCCCTATTCCTGACGTAATGCAATTACCACAACATGGAAAACTTGGACACAAATAAACCAGGCTTAACAACAAATATCACATTCAATGAGCATGTTCCATAAACGTTTATAGTTCCGAAAACAAGAAAAACAAATGTACGAGCCTCTAGAGTCCCTCTGTCCTCACATTACATTACAGATTGTATGGCAAGTCTTGACTCACTGACACCGACTCAATCTTTTTTCATTTTCAAGTTTTGATGCCATTTGATAAAACATTCTTTAGACAATGAGAAACATTTGACTGAAAGTATATAGCTGCTATCAGAGGTTATGGTCTACAAAAGAATACAGATATTGCATCTTAGTCAATAAAACGACATTTAGAGTGCAACTGCAAAAACACACTGACTGTACACAATAATTAAGAAACAAAACAAGCTCCTGAAGGCTTAGTTTTAACAGTTATCAGCCACTATTAGTTACAAATAGCAAATGGCAACAAAATGCATGTAACCACACAGTATGGGACTCAGGAGGCTCAGGTAAAGATGTGTGTTGTTCATATGACCAATATATCCTGCCAGTGCCACTAACCTTGTGATGTTGTCATCGTAACTGAGCACACCATAAACAAAACAGATCACACCCATGACTGCAGCAAAAAACAGCATTTCTGTGTAAAAGCCCAGCCAGGCAAAGTAGATACCAATCTTCTCACCATAGTACTTCCTATGACAAAATACAAACAGGAAATGTAATGCTGGTTTGATATGCTGCACTAGAAAAGTGAGGTGTTTTGCCTCACTCAGTTGTACTCTTGCAATCAGCAGTCTAATGATAAAGCATCTAACTGTCTGTCCAGATTTGGTTATTGCACTCTTTTTCAGATGTCCTGTCTGCAGTGTCCTCACTTGATCAGATTGAGTGGCTGCTCCTTGTAGAAGCAGAGGAATCGAGCCCAGTGGCTATACAGGTGATACCTTTCACTCTCACACTGCATGTCTTGTGCTTTCTTCCAATACCGACACTGAGGAACAAACAGCAGATAGATGTCAACCAAAGATATACACAAACGTTTAAAGGGTTTATGAGCTGCATTTTTTTTAATTTTATAAATGTTCTCTGAGGTCCACTTATGTTATCAGGATTTTTACATAAAAAAACATCCTAATTTAGAAGTAATAAGTTATTTACTCTCTTGTTTTTGACTCTCTCTTTAAAACAGTTCAAAATTCAAAATTCAAGACTTGGAAGTAAACGCCCACTGCTATGATTGGTGTAACAGTTTTGCATATTAAAATTATTTTCAACGTCCCCGCCATTACATCTGGAATTGTTACGAAAATTGTTTCAATGTGAAACATTTATGCATATTACGCATGCTTTATAAGTCTTGGATGTGGCAAATAAAGTTTAAGTACTTGGAGTTACCACAGTTATATTTGACAAAGTATGAATTATGGTGTTTCATGTAAACACTTTACGAATTATGAATGAATGTACCATCGTTTGTTGCACTGTCATTCTTAATCATAGTTCATCCTTTTCGATAAAGTGAAAAACTTTTACATTTTTTAAATAAAATGAAACGTGTTGTTGTAATTATTTACTGATGACAAAACAGATGATGTTGCTTAATTAAGCTTTTTTATTCAGGATTACAGCGAATAGCTTAGATCAAAATCTCAAGCTAGTGTTTAAAGCATTTTTACATTTATTCCAAAATAATAACTAAAGGTAGAATTTAAACAATATATTTTATTTGTGTATTGAATGTTCAACTGCTCTTTTTAAGTTAACTTATTTTCAGATCATCAGTCATGCTCATTAAACACTATCTGTCACAGACACAAAGATGCATCTTTATTTCCCCAAGCTGATTGCTCATTAAAAAGCCTGTCGTCCTGTTTTCAGGCCATGTCAAGATTGATTTTGATGTGACAAAGCAGTGATATCTAAGTGGCTGTGCTATCTAAGTGATATCTAAGTGGCTTTACCTGGGGGTGTCGCTGTTGGACAGTGTTACTTTAGAAAAACGAGTGACTTGCACACTTTTTATTATTTTTTCACTTTTTTTATATTTGCGTTGTTTTATTTTAGTAATATGGATTATTTTCTCATCTTATTTTTTGTGGAGGCATTGTCTCCCTTGCATCCTCGGAGGCAACACCCTTGGTTCTTCCGTATCCAATAATACAACGCATTAACCCCATAAATGCTGAAGCAAATGAAATAACAGCAAATCACAACTATTTAGTTTGACTGCAACGCTACAGTATAAATACTCGGTACATACTATCTGTATCAGACAAAGAAATAGTGACACATGGTAAAAACACTGTTACTGCAACATTACTGTCGGATCCAATTTAGTCATCACTGCATCATCTTTTATTTTCAGTCTCTCTAAAAAGTAGGGTTCGGTTATTTTTCAATCGATTAATCTATCGATTATTTCCCCCAATTAATCGAATAATTTAACTATTATTATTTTACTCCTGGTGAATCTTTTGCTTTTTTCTGAATAGTTGATTAATCCATTGATTAATTTACTGATAAATAATAACCAATAATTTACAAATAAATAATAACCGCAACTAATCTATGTATGAACTTTTACCTAATGATATTGTTTATCACAAAAGATAAGGTTTATGCAGTGTAGGCCTAATTAGGAAAGGTGTTTTACTATGGCTGAGTTCACAGTCACTTTTTGGGATTTACAGCAGCAACTGCTTACAAGTGTGAATTCTGAAATGTTTTGTTCATTCATTGTTCACAACCGCATTCTAACTAACCATAGCGACATTGTCAAACATGGCGGTGTCCATAAAACGGTGAAGTTTTACCATGATCGACAACACGTAATTAAATAAATGAGTCCAATCGAGGCGCAAGTTCATCCATTAAATATTTTAAATAACCAACAACAGTGTTCAATGCTTTGTAACCGGTTGCAGAGAGTACTTTTGAGCTGCACGTCTTGCAGCTTCGTCCGTTTAAAAGATTTCCAGACTTTCCACACTTTAGATTAGGCTCGATTTTTTTGTAATAATGATAAGGGCAATAATAAGAGCAATTTTCAGAATGCCTGGTAGCCGCCATCATTGGGAAACATAAACAGCACAACGAAGCGACGCATTCCACGCAAATCAACTAAAGTAATCGATTATGTTGACGCTTCGTTCCAACCCTACTGAAAAGCCTGTGTCGAACTGTGCCTTGTTTCAAAATTAATCCGTAGTAAAAATTAAGTGAACAAACGAACCGTGTCTTTTTGATACTTCGTTAAAATTAAAGTTCATTCACGTTTTCTTAATGTTAGGATCACATGGATGGCAATGCAAAAACTCTGTTTTTCCAAAACTTGGCACTTCAAAACCCTCAGAGGCATCGTTTTGTTGCTGGAGCAGTAATCCTGTGTTTGTGTCTGTTTCGTATTTACTTGACATGACAACATGACATGCGTGAATCAGTGGGCGGGGCTAAAGAGGCAATGATTTAGAAGTAGGCATTGATCTTCTTCTTCTGATCTTCTTCTTCTTCTTTCATTGCATTGTCATAATGTGACAAAACCCAATGAGTCGTTTTGCCAGCTTGGTTTCAGTAAAAGCTGTTTTTGGAATTACGAGGAAGTTCTGAAACTTACAGAATATTTTTATAGTAATACCTCTTATGTCAAAAGATCAAGGAAAATTTCTCAATTCATGATCCCTTCAACTTTGTAGTTTTCTTTGGTTTAATATAATATAATATCATTGTTACTACTACTACTACTACTACTACTACTACTACTATTAATATTGTTACTACTACTACTACTACTACTACTACTACTAATATTCTATTTTTATTATTACGGAATATGTATTCAAAATCCACTGGAATCCACAAACAACTTCTGCTAGATAACATTAAAATGAATGGAGCTCTAGATTGAGCTATACTAAATTAGAAACAAGTCACAGCACAAAAATGCAAAAGTGCATAAATCTCACACTCACGTCATGAAGGGGATAAGCTGAGGTGTAGGTGCCGTTGTTCAGCAGTCGTTTGATTCCCGTCTTATCTTTCTCTTTACGGTCTTCCTTGTAGTAAGGGCAGCGGGTCAGGATGTAGTACACGATCCTGTTGCGTGTGGAGGGAGGAAAAAACGTATCCTTATCATCAATGAGGAAGAAGTCAACCTTGCTCTTGTCAAAAGGTGCAGTGAAGTAGTCCGGCTCTGGCCTCATGATGCCATCTGGAAGCCGGAAAGGGTGAGTGAGCCACTCCAGAGGAACTTCTCGAGCTTTGGGAATATCGCTCGCTTTAAAGGGCACCTTGATCTTTAGCACATCCGCATAGGTGGCCAACACCTCCCATGGAGCGTGGATCTTCAGATAATATGTCTTACGATCATCTGACTCCTGCAGGGGGAGATTTTTTTGAGAGGGGAAGTGTTATATTGGAAAATGCGTAACAAGGTATCTGTATGCATAACAAAACAGCATTTGTACGAAATCACATCAAAAGACGACACCTTGAAGTAATGCATTAACTGCAAGTTTGTTAGTTTAAATAAAGCTTTAAAAGCTTTTTTTTTAAAAGCTCTGACTCCTTAGCGATCAATCTTGCCACCCACCACCCCAACCAAACAGTAGATGGCATGGTGGAACAGTACAACCGTGCCCTCTCTCTCAGCCTGGACTTTATAGCTCCTCTCATCACGCGTTATGCGTCTTTCTCTCGTCCTCCGCAGGATGAAGACCATGGGACGTAGGCTTGAGAGACGATACAGAAGCTCTGGCCTCATTGTCCATCATGAAGCATTTAAAGAACACGTCACGAATTACAAAGAAGCACTTTCCCAGAATAAAACAAGGTATTACTCCACACTGCTCAGCAACCAACAAAAACACCCCAAATTGCTCTTCTCCACCATCAACCATCTTCTCCACCCTCCTGATACCACTAAACCCTCAGATGCAGCAGACCTCTGCTCCAGGTTCTTGGACTTTTTCCAGCAGAAAGTGGACACCATCCACCAGCAGCTCCAGACTCCTGGAATTACCCCCTGTCCTACATTGCTTAAACATGATTCTTACCACTCAGCTGCCGGTTCACCGCAGTGCTGCCTATCCGTCTTCTCTCCTCTGGATGCTGATCAAGTAACAAAACTGGTAATCTCAGCCAAAACCTCAGCCAGCAGTCTTGACCCAATGCCCACCACCCTGGTCAAGGCCTGTCTTCCCATCCTCTGCCACTCAATGCAAAACATCATAAATGCATCTCTTAACTCTGGTGTGGTACCATCCAGCTTTAAAATGGCGGCAGTCATCCCCACTCTCAAAAAGCCAGGCTCAGATCCAGACGACCCCAACAACTATCGTCTAATCTCCAATCTCCCTTTCCTCAGCAAAATCCTGGAAAGCGCAGTGGCTGTCCAGCTTCAAGATCATATGTCCCACCATGAGCTTTTCGAACCCCTCCAATCTGGTTCAAGAAGACACCATAGTACTGAGACCGCCCTCATCAAAATCACTAATGACCTCCTGCTGGCTGCTGACAACGGCCTCATCTCCATTCTCATCTTCCATGACCTCTCTGCAGCTTTTGATAGTTTCACATACTATCCTTCTCCACCGCCTGTCTGAGCTCATCGGCCTCAGTGGCACAACACTGTCTTGGTTCCGGTCCTATCTCACTGACCGGAAACAATTCATCGCCCTAAATGGCTCAAATTCTGATCCAGCACCCGCCAACCATGGTGTACCTCAGGGCTCTGTGCTTGGTCTGCTGCTGTTCACCATTTACATACTACCCATAGGTCATATTATCCGTAAACATGGACTCAATTACCACTGCGACGCCGATGACATTCAACTTTATATCAGCACAAACCCCTCCTCCCAGCTCCCACCCACACAACTTGTCAACTGCTTGCAGGAACTCAAATCATGGATGACCACAAACCTACTAAAACTGAACAGTAATAAATCAGAACTCATGGTGGTGGCCCCTGCACCACTGCTCAGGAAAGTTGGTGACCTGGCCCTGGTTGTGGATGGCTGCTGCATTTCCCCTTCTCCTGAGGTGCGCAACCTGGGCGCCATTCTGGACGCCACTCTATCTTTCCGGTCCCATATTAATAACATCACCAAGGTGGCCTTCTTCCACCTCAGAAACATCTCACGACTCCGGCCTTCACTCACAGATTCAGTAACTGAGACACTCATTCATGCCTTTATCACCTCCCATCTGGATTACTGCAATGGTGTCCTGTCTGGACTGCCCACTAAGGCCCTTAGCAGACTGCAGTATGTACAGAACTCTGCTGCCAGGGTTCTAACCCACACAAAGCCCTGGCAGCATATCACTCCTATCATGCAACAGCTACACTGGTTGCCAGTCAAGTCACGCATCACCTACAAGATCCTTCTGCTCACTTACAAATCTCTCCATGGACTCTCACCAAAATACCTCAGTGACCTCCTCCATCCCTATACTCAGTCACGTTCCCTGCGGTCCTCTGACAAGGACCTGCTGGTCACCCCCCGCACCAGGTTGTGGACTTTTGGGGACAGGGCTTTCTCTGCAATTGCTCCTGTACTTTGGAACAGTCTACCATTCCACGTCCGCTCTTCCCCATCCCTGCCCATGTTCAAAATGCACCTTAAAACATTTCTTTTCACAAAGTCTTTTGACCCCTAACTCCTCCCCCAGCTCCCCCCCCCTTCTTAATGTGTACAGATGTGACGTAATGACGCAAAGACATGCTCGAATCTCCCGCGGTAATCCACCAGTACCACTGGAATTAAAAACATTATTACAAGCTTACCGTTTTGAATCGAGCTAAGGCAAGCAGATAGTTTTGAACACTGGCTGGTTATGTATTTTCTCAAATATGTATTTTGGATCATTTTTAACCCCAAAAAGCTACGGACTGCAGCTTTAAGTTTCATAACTCTATATTTAGGCTATATTTCACTTAAATCCTGTACTAGAGTGCTGCTTGTACGTTTGAGTGAATTGTTTGCTTATGTTTATTTCCTATAGTCTTTTATAATGGCTATTGTTGTTCATTTAAATATTTTTGTACAATACATATTATTTTATATAAATAATATGCCGTATTTGGTATTGAGAAAGGATCGTGATATGGACTTCAATGAAAGTTACATTATTACGCCATTAGACAGACTTTATGAGTGAGCCAGAACAAGGAAGTTATTTTAGCGCTGTCATGGGAAGGACAATGACGAACATATCGCTTTCCTCAGCGATCATTTTTGGATATAATATCATGGACATCGACCTGAAGAATGAATGCTATATCAGATGCAGGTAATACACTTGTTTAGTCGATCTCTCTCTCATAATACCATACTGTAATACCTCAAGCTTTAATGAAGTGACTCAACATTCCTTCGTTACTAGTTCTAAAGTGACATTTTAGAATTAGTAACGGAGGCTCAACTGTCAAACTGTCAACTTGAGATTTGAATCCGTGGCGGGAGGAAGTAGTTTTGCACAAAAGAGGGTTTTTAAAGACACTCCGTTGTTGTTTCTTATTTACTCAAGTGTGCCGTCGAACTGTTGTATAAATGCAATATCAGACGAGTAGCCGTGCGATATGGCTGTATATCAGCACGCTGTGATTACCTACGGCCGAATCACAGCCGTGCTGATATAGCCTACAGCCATATCGCACGGCTACTCGTGTGATATTGCTCATATATATAAATAAAATAAATGCATAAAAGATATATTTTTTAAATAATAAAATAAAAGATCCATTATAGAAGTGCAACCATGAGGGGGCATCTGAGGCTCAGAACCTCACCGATTTATCTTCAGTCTCCAGCTCAAGACCAGACTTCTCCAGGTTGGCTTCAAACTCTCTTCTTCTCTCCTGGAAGAAAGGCCACACAAAAACATCAGTTTCTTTCAACTTTATCATTGTACTGTATCATTCATGGTCTCTTTATCTTTTTTTTTATCATTAGTTTTAAGTCATCGAATGATTCAGCTTTGTATATGAGGCTATTTTATATGTGATATTTAAAGTCCTGAGGGTTGTAAACAAGCTTTGGACTACGTCTTTAGAGAAAACTCGTATTTCCCACAAGCACCGGTGACCTATGGCTACCACATCTTATCTTATGGAACACCACATCAAATGGCTGACTCAAGGGATATGACCTTCATTAAGTAGAGAGCCTGACCGCGCATCAACCTCTGCATACAAGAGAAAACAGAGGATCAAACCGGTTCACCAGCAAACCCTTCAGTGTTCTCAGCGATTGAACTGAATGAAGGGTCTGACTAAAGAGAAGTGGTTGACCCCCTGCTCTCATTTTATGCAATCACTGTTTGTCATTCAATTTATTGTGCAACAGCTTCTATCTGACTCTGACTCACTGTTTCTCACTGTGCCTTATGACCCAGCAGACATCTCACCCCATCTCACCACCACTGCACGCCTACGTACAAGTCCCCATCACACTATTTTTGTACACAGTGAGCAATATTAAGCTTCAGCCATTGTTTGATTGCTTAACAAGGCCAAGTACAGAACATTTTGGAGAGAACGCACACTAATTAGAATTCCTGCATCAATAGTAATTACAGATGATGGAGCAATACCAGAATTTTATGCATGACAGAGATCAGGACTGTGGAAAACAAACAATTAATGAGGGGAGCAGAAAATCTGTGCATGCGTTTGTGTCAGTGTCAAAGTGTGCATGAAAATGAAATGATTTTTTTAAACACTCTTTGTATTTCTATTTATGTTGATTTTGTATGGTTTTGAAAAACGTTTAAGAAAATAAATTAATTTAAAGTATTTTTTTCTAACACCTCGATAATGTCCGTAAACATCACTATTTTCAATAATGTTCTTCAATATATATATGTGTGTGTGTATATATATATATATATTATTATTTTTTTGTGACAAATATAACAAATTAATTTATTAATATAAGTTTTGGGCACTTATGCGGCACATTTTGCAACCTTATTTCTGCTTTAAAAACTATCATATAGGAAGTATATTCAAGTCATTGTATGTGTGAATTGCATTTTAAATGCATCTTTGAATGAATTAACAGATAGGACTAATAAGTGACTGTCTTGAAGTGTGTTGTTAATATTACTATGAAAGTCCTGTATATTAGTGGCATACCGCTTTTTTGTCTCCATCCTTGTCGTCAACGTAGGACAGGACGAAGTCGATGCGTCGTACACCATCCTTGAAGTACACAGAGTTCCTGTTCTCCTCAAACTTGTCTATCTAAAAAAGAAAAATTCAGAAGATTCATATCAACAGCATTCCCACTTATACGTAACACAACTACATGACCATACAGCCTTTCAGAGTTGCCTCCTGTCACAATAAACAAATGTGTCATGACGCAAGTGATTTCTATTAACTGTGCTTATTTTTTTGGTGGCAAAACCCCAACAGACCCATTACATCAGTGGAGGTGATGCTCAACATACCGCATAAATCACTTTAGTGCTCAGGGTAGTGAGAGCAGAAATGTACTGCCGAGTAAAACAACATCCCACTAACACAGCAGAAATAGTATCATGACAGCATGAGAGGCTCCAGGAAGAGCTGCAGCAAGATGTGCTGAGAAAACCACAGGTACAATATGAAGAGAGCGGTTACTTCTGCAGACATGTAGAGTGTAAGATCAACACACACACCCACACACACTGGCTTAGCTATCTAAATGGTGACGTTCCATAGACCTCTATTGTTTTTCATATACAGCTGGCTGGTTACAATTACTGTAGCCTAACCCAAAGAGAAAGCTGCTTAGCATTTTATATATATATATTTTTTTTTAAATAATAATAATGTATTTTAATTTTGTACCATTTTTCAGATGAGGATGTCGCCAAAAGAAGTTTTTTTCAGGTTTAAGTCACTTCTGGGTACACATTTTTGTACAAAAAGACAATATCTAAAAAGACAATTATGTAAAAATATGAATTTAAAAGAACACATCAAGTGACAAATTTGTAGTCCATCTTCTCTTATAAAATTGTGATGATGCCATGATACAGTGATTGTATCAGATTATAATTCCTTTGGTATTTTTTGCTATTGATGATTATTGAATAATTACTTTATTGATGTCCTAGTATTTATCTTATATACCAAAACATTTCAAACAATGCCAAGGTTTTTAAGGTTTTTAAGTCAATAAAAATATGCTAATATTATGGTACCTTGTTGTAAATGTTTTAATCAAAAAAAGCAAATGCAAAAAGACAAAGACAAACAAACAAACAAACACCCCAGCCATCCCAGACACAAAACCCCAATACCAAAGATGCATGCGCAGCTGAAGTGCTTCTTCTCCATGGGAGTGCAACAAGACCACGCCCCCTTTTTTTGTGTATTCCTGCGGGCGGAGAGGAGTCAAAAAACTGTTCTAGTTACGTCATTTAAAAAGGAAGTAGAGGGATGTAGTCCAAACCGGCCGTTCGCTGTACAATTTGAAAGGGGACTTCTGTTAAATAAAATATCTCGCTAGGCATTGAACTTTGAGCTTTATAATTTTACAGGTATTATTTATGCTCTAACAGCAACATTACACACTAATTAAAGTTTGAAAAATGGAATCGCGAAGAACGGGACCTTTAATACAATTATGCAAATGGAGTATTATAAAACGTACTCGGTTACTAACGTAACCTCGGTTCTCTCTAGAGAGGGAACGAGTACTGCGTAATAGCTTTACGCTAGGGGAAAAACTCTTTTCCGCGAGATATTGAAGCCAAAAATTATCCTTTAATTTTTTATTAATGCAAAACGCTTTGCAGCAGCAAGCAAACATAGGCGAAACAGCTCGCGCGCCTATTGGTTGCTCTGCAGCAAATGCAGCAGCCTATCGAGAGAGACTCTGCGTGACGTAATGACCAATGGGGGCAATTCGCGCCCATATCGTCACGTCCCGCCAGAAGGGGCGTGGTCTCGCCCTATAAATATGCTCGTTAGGCTGATACAAGCTGGTTTTTATCGCTGAAGCGAACCAGAGCGTATTCCACGCACGGCAAGATACGCAGTACTCGTTCCCTCTCTAGAGAGAACCGAGGTTACGTTAGTAACCGAGTACGTTCTCTTACGAGAGTATCTCTCGTACTGCGTAATAGCTTTACGCTAGGGGAACACAATGCAACACGCCGTGCGTAAAGGGATCCAACACCAAAGTCCCAGGGGCCGAAGCCCAGGGCTCATGTAGTGCATAATCACCATAAACTCACATAGAGTAAAGGAAGAGAGGCTGGAAGCGTCATTCCCTATAAAAAAGCACCCAGCGGGCTATTATATGACCATCAAACGCGCAGCCAGGGTGAAAGCATTCAGCCTGATCTGGGCGGCCATACGTGAGTCAACACTCATGGGGCTGCAGTAAACTCAGCATCTGGGCCGCAGAGCGGGGCAGATAGCACTGAATTTAGACCGCCAAAAGCTTAGCTTGTAAGGCGGGTACCTCCAGGTTATAGTATTTTATAAATGTAGACGGCGAGGCCCAGCCCGCGGCCGTACAGATATCTTGCAGGGAAACCCCGCTAGACCATGCCCACGAAGAGGCCACGCCTCTCGTGGAATGCGCCCTGACACCCAAGGGGCACTGTAAGCCCTTCGCAGAGTAAGCGAGCGCGATGGCATCCACTATCCATCTGGATAGGCTCTGTTTTGAGGCGGCGAGTCCCTTGGAACGCCCGCCGAACAAAACAAAAAGCTGCTCCGTCTGTCTGAAAACAGACGAGCGTGCCACATAAGCTCTCAATGCCCTGACGGGGCAGAGGAGACTTGCATCCTCCTCCTCACTGAGAACCGGAAGGGCAGACAGGGAAATGACCTGGGCCCTGAACGGCGTGTTGAGGGATTTCGGGACATACCCGTGTTTCGGTTTGAGAATGACCTTTGAGTCATTAGGCCCAAACTCCATACACGACGCGCTTACTGAAAGCGCCTGTAGGTCCCCTATGCGCTTCACTGAAGCGAGAGCCATGAGAAACACTGTCTTGAACGACAGGTGTTTCATGTCCACCAGCTGGATTGGCTCGAACGGGGCGCCTTTCATGGCCTCCAAGACCGTGGAAAGGTCCCACGTCGGGACTGAAGGGGGCCTTGGAGGGTTCAGCCTCCGAGCTCCCCTAAGGAAACGCACGACTAAGTCGTTTTTCCCAAGCGACTGGCCAGACACCGGTTTTGCAAACGTTGCTATGGCCGCCACATATACTTTGAGCGTGGATGGGGTCCTGCCCTTATCCAGTAGCTCTTGAAGGAAGGAAAGCACTTCCGCAACCCCGCACTCCACAGGTGAAAGGCTCTGGGCCTGACACCATGTAGAGAAAACAGACCATTTCGAGGAGTAGAGCCGCCTGGTAGACGGAGCTCTAGCCTGCGCGATCGTGTTTAACACTCCCTCTGGGAGGCTAGCGGGTACCCGTTGATGGCCCATGCGTGCAGGGACCATAACTCCGGGCGAGGGTGCCAGATCGAGCCCTCCGCCTGAGAGAGGAGGTCTCTCCTCAATGGTACAGGCCATGGGGCAGTGCTGGTCAGCTGCATCAGGGCAGGGAACCACGTCTGGTTCGTCCAGAGCGGGGCTACAAGCAGCACTGGGCATCCGTTTTCCCTGATTCGTTCCAACACCTGAGGCAGGAACGAGACAGGAGGAAAAGCATACAGGGGGCAGCGGGGCCAAACATGAGCCAGCGCGTCCTTGCTTTTCGAGAAAAACTCCGGGCAATGAGCGTTTTCGTGGGACGCGAACAGGTCCACTTGTGCTCTGCCGAACGTTTTCCACAGCAGCTGGACCGTCTGCGGGTGCAGCGACCATTCCCCTGCCGGGACCTTGTTCCTGGACAGTCTGTCTGGTCCCACATTCAGGTGACCAGGCACGTGCGCCGCTCTCAGTGAGAGCAGGCTGTGCTGAGCCCAGACCAGAAGGCGTTCCGTCAGCCTGAGAAGGCTTCGTGACCTGACGCCGCCCTGGCGATTTATGTATGCCACCACTGACATGTTGTCCGACCGGACTAAGACGTGGTGGCCTGTTATCTGGGGACAAAAAAGCCGTAGCGCTTTGTCGACTGCTATCATCTCCAAGCAGTTTATGTGAAGGAGCTTTTCCCGTTCTGACCACAGGCCAGCTAGCGGTCTGCCCTCGAGCAGCGCTCCCCACCCCGAGGTGGAGGCGTCCGTAGACACCACCTTCACACTCGAAGCGGTCCCCAGACTCACATCTGACTGATACCAGTCGGTCACTTTCCAAGGTTCCAGAGCTGAAACGCACTGAAGGTCGACCCTGAGGCGAAACAGACCCGCTGTCCATGCCCTGGGTGGAACCCGCGCTTTCAGCCACATCTGCAGTGGGCGCATGTGGAGCAAGCCCAACTGGAGTACAGAGGCTGCTGAGGCCATCAGCCCCAGCACTTTCTGAAACCTTTTGAGCGGAACTATCGCGTCGTGGCGGAAGGATTTCACGCCGCGCTGAATACTCAGTACGCGCTCTGGTGACAGGCGTGCTGTCATGGACAGCGAGTCCAACACGGTTCCCAGAAAGGAAATTTTCCGACTGGGAGACAGTGAGCTCTTCGCCCAATTGACTGTGAGGCCCAGCTTCTCGAGGTGCTCGAGTAATGCGGCCCTGTGTTCTATGAGCTCCGATCGTGATCGAGCTAGAATCAGCCAATCGTCCAAGTAGTTCAGGACTCGCATGCCCTGAAGTCTCAGGGGTGCGAGCGCCGCGTCCATGCACTTCGTAAATGTACGAGGTGCTAGGGACAGGCCGAACGGCAGGACTGTGTATTGATATGCCTGGCCCTCGAAGGCGAATCTCAAAAATCGCCTGTGATGGGACGCTATTTGTATCTGGAAATAGGCGTCTTTCAGATCTATTGACATAAACCAGTCCCCGTGGCGCACTTGCGCGAGGATTTTCCTGGTCGTAAGCATTCTGAACTGGCGTTTGACAAGCGCTCTGTTCAGCTGTCGCAGATCTAAAATGGGTCTGAGACCCCCATCCTTTTCGGTACCAGAAAATATCTGCTGTATAGGCCCCCTTCGCTCTGAGCCTGAGATAAAGGTTCTATAGCCCCTTTGCTCAGTAGTTTCGCTATCTCGGCACGAAGTAGATGAGACACTTCGTTTTTCACCGTAGTTTCGACGCGCGCCGTATAGCGGCGTGGGCGTCGAGCGAATTGTAGCGAATAGCCTCTCTTTATAGTGTTCAGCACCCATTCTGATACCCCGGGAAGCTTTGACCA